AAACCATCTGCTTAGTTTTTTATTAAGATAATGCATGCTCCGTTTCCATACCAATTTTTTGCATGTAAAAGTAACAATACAGGATCTGAAACCCTACTTTCAAGAATTCCTCCCAAATATTAAAAATATAAGGAAATATGTTTGAGTCCAACAAGTCAAATGAAGCACTGCCCCTCTAAACCAGAGGCTGCAGTAGTGAAGTTTAGGTCTGCTGAGATCTCCCTGTATCTGTGTTTTGTGTGGCAGTCGTGTGAGGTGCAAGGGCTCTGCTGTTCACACACCCATTTATAACAGACAGTAAATCAGGCTGAGGTCCATCTGTGCAGTGTGGAAGAACTCCTACTTTTTATCCTCATACTTAGTTGTGTACTAGTTAGAATCATTGACTCATAGAATGGTTTGGGTCGAAAGCAATCTTAAAGATCATCTCGTTCCAATCCCCGTGCATGGGCAGGGACACCACACACCAGGCCAGGTTACTCAGAGTTCCATCCAAGCCAGCCTTGAGCACTTCCAAGGGTGGCGTATCCATAAGTTCTCTGGACAACCTCCAGTGCCTCATCACCCTTGGAGTCAATTCTGCTTAGCATCTAATTTAACCCTGCCCTCTTTCAGTTTAAAACCACTGCCTTTTTCCTGCCACTACCTGCTCATATAAAAAAATCCCTCTCCCTCCTTCTTAAGATACTGGAAGGCCACAGTGAGGCCTTTGTGGAGTCTTCTCCAGGCTAAACATTCCCAGCTCTCTGAGCTGCCTTCACAGGAGATGTGCTTCAACCAATTGATAATCTTTATAGCCCTCCCCTGGACCCACTCCAACAGGTCCACATCTTTCTTGTGCTGAGAAAGTTGTGTTCTTTGTTGCTCCATTCAAACTGTGGGGTTCGTGCTTTTTCTCAGAAGAAACACTATTAATGTTATTTGAATTTGTGCATTCATTTATTCTTGTTAATCGAGTTTATATAGGACTACCAAGTTAGAAAGATATTACTGATGTATCTCATCACTTCAACTGTTCAAAGCATTGCATGAATTTTATCCCTTCACAAATATTAACCCCTGGGTTGGTGCTCTCCTGAGCACCCATTCACTCAGTTAAAAATTTGTGTTTGCATGCTGACGTTTCTTCCTGAGGGCTCATCTCCCATAGTGAGCATGTTTAAACAACTGAAGTACTCTTACAATGAAACATTCAAATTCAAGCCTTTATTATTATGCAATCTGGGATTATTTTTTTTATCATTAGACTTCCTTCTGTGTCAAACCACCCAGTTTGACACTCCCTGTTCCAGATTCCTGTCCCATGAGCTAGTTGTTTGGAAATACTGGCTAGGAAGACAAAAACTGTGGCTTTTTTTTTTTTTTTTTTTTTTAAACTAGAGAAAGTGGGGTTTTTTTCACTAGGTATTTGGGATTAAACTGTAACCCGAAGGCAGTACACAGATATAGGGTAAAGATCAAAAGGAGAAGGAGAGCATTACTTGGAGGACTGATGCACTGGAAACAGTGAGCCTGATTCAAAGTGCTTTGGCTGTCTGAGGATTCTTGTGCATGACTTAACTAGTTTCTGGATTAAACCTTGCATATGCCCTAGGAGTGGAATGTATAGCTGCTTCAGCAGCATGTGGTCTCTGGAAAAAAACTGTGGAAACTAGTCTATGTTATATCAAACTGAGGTTTCTTTTACTATTCAGAATAAGAGATTTCTGATTAACTCCATATCTAAACAATTTTAATGATTCACGAGACTACTTTGACTTGACTCTCCAGTCAGATCAGTTTCTGTACAGAACTTCACTCCTTGATCTATGTCCAAGAACATATTTATCAGGGAATTTATACAGCCCTTTAAATTCACTTCCTTATGTGAATTAAACTAGCTTTCCTAGTTTGAAAGTTCCCTGTGTGTGAAGTGAGGATTTCTCGAGATTTTTCACGTGTCGTGTGATGCCGTAGTGTTCTCCCTCGGAGTCCTCCCGCCGGGCAGTCTCTGCCGCAGGAGAGCTGGGGGGATGAGTTTCCTCCTTGCCCGCGGGGAAAGTGCCGCATGGATGTGCTCTCCCTGCACCGGCTGAACGCTCTCCCGGCTGGACAAGGAGATCGCCGGCGTTTTGACAGTTTTCTTGGGGAGGATTCGTTTTGTTTTTCGGGCAGCTTAACATTCAAAATACCGTGGCCACTTGGAGAGCCGCAGATCCTTCAGGTTGCCCTGGCACATGTTGCCAGGTACTTGAGCGCACACGAAGAAGAACTGCTGCACCGAAAGCCCTTCCTTGTCGTGCCCCGGCGGCTCGGAGGGCTCGGCCAGCTCCGGCATCGAGAGCAGCTGCCCCCGACATTGTTTTTGCGTCGGTTCTGCAGAGGAGCGGCAGGAGCTTACATCATTTCCAGTAATGAAGTGCCTGGGGTTCTTTTATGACTTGCACATTCTGCTTCTCTGGAGCTGTACAGTATGTTCTGCGTGACTTCAGGAAACCGAGGATTTGTTTTGACTTGCTAAAAGAACGTTTTGCTATTTCTCTTTACAATTTCACCGTGTGACTTGTCAATTCGCTCCCCCTCTTAAGAATAACTTCAGATTTAATTAGCTGAGTGCAAACATCTTTCATTGCGGTGTGGATTATACTCCTCATTGAGTACATTTACCAACAGAATGAAAGGCAACTTAATCAGGCAATTCTGTATTTGTACTGCTGTGTCCAGAGAGCATGATAGCTGTCAATAGACAGTTGCTATTCTAGGGCAGGATGCCCAGTGATGTGGGGACCTGTCTTGTTAAGGCTTGCTCTTTGGTTCTGATGCTCTCTCTCCTACCTAAGACACCTTTTCAAGTGTGTTTCATTATCATTTCCCTCTCTGCTATGTAAGAAAAATTATACTTATGTGCTGGTTGGAATACACCGAAGGTGCTGTCACGTCCCCTAGTACCTTTCCTAGCATATTTTAAATGGTACAATATATACTTTGCTGAATTGCAGTGTTGCATTGCTTATGAACCTCTATTAGACAAGTTTGGCAGCAGCTTCCCAAAGAGTTACCTGGATATATGCGTGTGTGTGTGTGTGTGTGCTTTGAATTCCTCTGTGCTGGATTTCAGTTTGCATTTCCACAACTCAGAGAACCTTCTCCATGAACCAACATGAGTATTTCTGAGGTATCCTGACTCAAGCAGCAGCCTCCACAATTCTCCATGAGTCCTGGAGTATATGACTGTGCCGCAGCAACAGCAGCTGATTTACCTGCATGTGCTGTCACAACAGATGCTTTTTGACAGAAGCAAAACAAATGAAAAAACAGCACAACATTTATAGTCCCCTTTGTGGAACTGTCATCCTTTCTGTTAGTTCCAGGTATTGACCTTATCATGAGAACTTTATAAAACACCTTTAACTCTATTAACTATTCACTTCCCCGGAGTTAAAATTTGACAAGTCCATTTTTAGCCATCTCTTCTCTTAGAGATACTGTGGTTGGTTTTAGTTTGATTCTTCAGAAGTGAATCATAGTTTCAAAACCCTCACTACCTGAAACACTTCTTTTTTTCCATTAGCATTCAACATGTTTAACATGTGTTCAGACATGTTATCAGAAACTTATACTAGAGTCCTTTAAAAAAATCCTGTGTGATTTCATGCCCTGGAAATACCTTTCACACTGCAATATTCCTACAGCTATGGGGAGATATGAGGCATATGGATGTGAGCTAGTCAAATTAACGCCATAATGGCTTCTGGCTCGACAAGCAGATACAGTGCAAACAGAAAGGAGAACAGCTGTAGAAGAGTTACCTTTTATGTGGGTGGCATAGACGTCTGCCAGTTAAAATGATCTGATGAATCATTTCTTGCCATATGATTACTGTTAATAAGAATTTATGTTAACAAGTTTGTGTCTGAACTTTGCACAGGTTCATGCCTGCATTTTATTTTGATAAAAAATAGAGCATATCATGGTTGTTTAATGGACTTTCTTTCCTCCCTTGAAAGCATTCCAGGACTTCAGTAATGCAGAGCTGCCAACTAACCGTTAAAGGAAGGTGTTTTAATCTCCATGTAGTGCTTTCTATATGTAATTCTCTGTATACAGAACAATAGTTTTAACCTGGGAACCTCAAGCTAAGCTTATAACTCCACATACCAGCACTTACAAAGAGAGTGTAGCCTTCAAAATATGAACTTTTATTAAAGTCTTGTTATTGCACACATTTACATTATACTTACGCTTTACCCCTGACTGACAGATTTTAGCCATTGACTTCATTACACTTACTCCGTGTGTGTAAAATCAAGCATTTTTTTTTTTTCCAGAACTGATGTTGTATTTATGGTGAGAAATTAGGCATAGCAAAATGTTCTTTTAAATATATCCTCAATAACTTACAAAGCACTTCAAAGCATTTGAGAAGTCTGTGAAGAAGTGAGACATTTTATAGAAAGAAATACACAAATCCAAGCACAGTGAGTGTTAACAAACTTTGATAAAGGGTGATTTGAGAATCCCTCTCATCAGAAAAATGTGGTTTGAAATTCTGCATATAGCAGGACAGGGTAGGGAGACAGAAAACAATTGTAAAAAACCTGCTTGAAGTACAGTTTAGCTGGGATAAGTGGTTGGAGACTTTTCATCCTTGTGAATCTTGTTTGGGAGCCATAAGCAGAACAAACATTTTGGTGGAAGGTCTTGTTCCCATGGGACTTAGAAGAGTTACTAGAAAATATATTGAGGAAAACAATCCTAAAAAGGCTAAGGAGGAACTTGACAAATAGATACTTTCTCTCCCAGTTTGCCTTACTAAAAATTCTGCCACTCACATAGGAGGAATAGAATGCACTGATAAGCAAGGCATTACTATGGCACTCAGATTTACTTCTGGGGGCTCTTTGGCTAACAGTCTCCTCCTCACCTCTGCTCTGTCATGCTTATTGATGGTTTGAGATCACATTTGCACCCATTTGTCCCGCAATGTCAATAAAACAAGAACTCTGCTATGTTTTTTCCAGTGTCATCCTGCATTACCACCTACAAGAAGACACCGCCGCCAGTCCCACCGAGAACGACCACCAAACCCTTTATTTCCATCACAGCCCAGAGCAGCACAGAGTCTGCCCAAGATGCATACATGGATGGGCATGGACAGAGGGGAGATATCATCAGCCAGTCTGGACTTAGCAACTCCACGGAAAGCCTGGACAGTATGAAAGCACTGACAGCTGCTATTGAAGCTGCCAATGCGCAGATCCATGGACCTGCAAGCCAACATGTAGGGAACAATACTGCCACTGTCACCACCACTACAACCATTGCCACTGTTGCAGTAGAAGATAGGAAGAAGGACCACTTCAAGAAAAACAGATGCTTGTCTATTGGAATACAGGTACAGTACATGACATAGATTATATGCTTGCCATTGTTTTGGATTTCTACATCTGTTTTACTGCTCATTATACAATGTTTGGTGTGTATTTTTCTTCTTGCTCTGACAGGTACCTATGTAGAGCTTGTACCAGCATAATCATTCTCCATGGTACTAATGATGTTTTCCTAATTTATCATAAATACATCAGATGCGAGGATTTGTTTGAGTCTCTGTGCTGCTTGTTATTCAGCTCTGTTAAATTACACACATGAGCACTAATCTATGAATCATAACACAGCAGGGGTCAGAAAGGCATGAATTAAATCATTGAAAGGGAATGTGTAAAACAATGATTTACATTACACTATCACCAAAAAAATATTTTCATCCAGCCTCACTGAATTAATTGTCGCTGGTTATTCATGCATTTCATAATGACTGGTAGCCACTTGAATGAGGCAGCATTGTTCCTACCTCAGCCTCAAGAACAGAAGATAAGTTCCGTCTGATTTGCCCTTGTTAAAGAAAATTATATTTTGTTACCTCTAGTGGAATGAAAAAAGAAAACTAACCCTACCAAAGTTCATTCATGTTTACAGAAAGGACAAGAGTAAATAAACTGGAGTTGTGTAATCTTCTTTCTTAATTAATCTTTCCTACCCCCTACTCCCCTCACAAAAAAAGATGTGCATAGGACTCCCAACTATCTGTTTGCAAGATTAGCTTATGTAACAAAGTGCTTGAACTTAAAATCAATGGAGAATCAGCAAAAGTTCTGACAGGAGATGAATCTCAAGCAAATAGAATAGCAATCCACAGCTTATCAGACTTCACAGGAAGACACAATTTTTTTTTTTCTTGCAGAAGGTGGTTATAAGCACAGCACTATGTGCCTGGACAGGCTTATCTGTTTAGTAAAGTCTAAGAATTTACCATGAAATCCCTACATCAGCCTGTTGAGATAGATGAGAGGTGCTGTGCTGAAGTAAGCCATCCCAGGGGTAGCTGCTGGAAAAGCTGCGACTTTTCTCTCAGTTCTTGGAAGGGCAATAATAACTATTGCCTGTGTGTTCAGTTCACTGCCTTTTTGTAGACTTCCACTGCTTCACAGCTGTTTGTTTTGGATATGTTCTGAAAGAAGGGCTGATGTTCAGTGTTAAACACAGAAGAAAGATCCAGGTGGGACAGGGATAGAGGAAAACTTCTCTATTATGTATTCTCATTCCCTGCCAAGCCGAAAATGCCATTATATTATTGTAATCCCTTATTTCACCAATCCAAGAAACCAAGACTTCTTAGCAATGACTCTGCAAAGCACTGGGTACAAAGAAATAATTTCCATGTTTGCAGAAGCCAAAATGAACAACGGTAACATGAATCATGGTTCTTGGGAGACCATCTCCCTGCTATCTCTTATTAAGGTAGTGTTACAAGTAACAAATGCTGGTTTTGAAAGGTATAGAGGCCTCAGTTTCCTAAGATCTGAGGAAAACCAAGTTCCAAATGCTCTTCAAGCTTTTGACAATCTCCCTCTTAAACTTTGAAGTTTACAGATGACTAGTGTAATCACGTGAAACAATAATGAAATCTGGGGATGGTACGTGAGAGGATTCTGTCAAGGCAGGCTTTGTGTACAAACCAATGAAGATGTGCTACAAACCACCTGAAGCTGGGATGACATGAAGTGAAACCTTCAGCAGTGATGCAGCCTTACAGGATTTCTGCCTGTGCATGGTGCCACCCTCACAGCTGTGCACATCAATGAGCTTTTTAGAGTCAGACAGGCTTCACAGATAAAAGAAACTTATTTCACTAGTCTGCTGTCTGAGCCATCTTGCAGCATCGTTGCACAAGCAGTCATGCTGGTACAGCTGAAGGGGTAGTGTGGGAGTAGAAATACCTTAAGGTAGGTGTTGATGCCAGAAATTACTTCTCTTACAAACAACTGCCCTAAAAAAGGTAGGTACAATCTCGGTCCTCTGACTGGCAGTAGAGTCAGTCTCTCTTCACTGAGTAAAGGGAGCATAGTTCAGGCTTAGTCTGAACTCAGACCAATTATGCATCTTAATGATAGTTCAACCCATCTCTGTAGAGCAGGGCAAGCTGCAATAGCCACAGGTATATTCGTGGTTTTCTTCCTCCTCTGCCAAATAAACCTAGTGTGCGCTTCTGGTGAACCTCCATGTGGGTCCTCTACACCCCTCAGTCACTCTTCAGACATTGCAAGCCTTTGCTGTAAATCTGCTGAGCAAACAAGCAAAGTCAAGCAAAGAAAAGCCCTTCCATCAAAAGGTTGCTCCACTCTGTCAGTTATGGGATTTAAGGTATATTTTTCTCCCCAGAGCCCCCAATATCAAGGAAGTACTTCACCTCACAGAACAGCTTCTGTAACTCCCATCCCTCACTGAGCATTTTTCCTGCACACGTTGGTCAAGTGGCTCCCAACAAGAAGCTGCTGGTGGAACAGCCACTAGAGCTGGATATTTTGTACACACATGGCCAGTATGAAGCTACAGGTCACTTCATGACACGGTTATGGCACAAAAATTCTGTCTGCTGGAAAATGTTTTTCTTGTATGACTATCCATATTATATATAGTATTGGGAGTTAACAGTTACACTGATTGGACCCAGAATATTGTGATTTTGTTCAAAGACACATCTGTGGTTAAATTTTAACTTTATACTGTTGGTACAAATCTACTCATGGAGCTGGAGTTGGAGATGTGGTATTAAGTTCCAGCCTGTGCTCTTGGGGACCACCTGTTTGCAAGATGAAGCAGTAAAGAAAATTAATCTAAGACTCATATCTGTTTTCTTAAAATCTTTTCTCTGCAGTACTCTGATTTGAGGCACTAACATTTAAACAAAATAAACACCTGATTTTGGTATGAGTTCACATATGTATGAACATACAGACAGAAGGTAAAACCAAACAGTGAAGTACAATGTCTGGAGTTACAGCTGCTCAGAGATGTGCTCTGACAAATGTGAACATCCAGCCTCCACAAAATACTGGATAAGATCCATCTGCATGTTGCAGGCTGAATATTGTCTTACCAGAGATGCTTTATAGATTAAGAATAATGAATATTCACTAATAACATCAGAAATGAGCACACCACAGAGAAACCGACTAGATGACCGACATGGTACAAGCTCTGTGTGCAGACACTTAGTAGTTAAGGTTCATAGAAACTGCAAGTAGCCAGCTGATATCTCTGCTAAAATACATTCTGATTACCTGTCATGTTTGGTTTTTATAAGGTTGATGGTGCTGAAGAATCCACCATACCAGGTGATAATAAAGCAACCAGTAAGTTCCAGTCCATAGGAGTTCAAGTAGAGGAGGAGAAGTGGTGAGTAAAAGTTAATACTGTTTTTCTAAAGTAAATAATTATGCCACAACTAATTTTTAAGAGCCCTAGTTCCTGCACACATGACCACATAAACCTGCTTCCTGGATGAATTGTTAGATCACCCAGCTGAAAGGCTGAGTCTTATAATTGTTGTAGCTCTTGTTTTTCAGAGATTTTTCAAGACCAGTGAGAAAAATGGAAGAGAAGTGCCACACATTTTGAGATCTCACATATATTTTAATATTTTCTTTTTCCCCAGAAAATCTACCTAAACAGTGGACAGTGTTGCAGCTGTAGTATTAGTATTGGGATGGCTGCAGCAGCATAGAACTGATGAGGAAAGGTTTACCTTGTTTTTCAGCAGAATAATTTCAACCACATGTAGCAGTGCAGTGGCAGAGCCAAACTGAATGCTTTTACTCAGGTATCTCACCCAGACATCTCTGCATTACAATTGCTCCCTTGAAAAAAAATTGTTAAGATTACAAAGCAAGCCTGTAAAACTCTGTTCTCCCTACAATCTGCAGTATATCTAGAGTTAGTAAACAAATATCCTCAAAGAAAAAAAAATTAAAAGAGTAAATAAACTAGAGCAGCTGTCTTAAAGGGTTATGTTTCTTTTCCGATGACAAATTTGCAGGTACATTGCAGGGCAACATAACTGTGCATAACACTTGGGACACATAAACACTTTGAATGCACAGCCACAACTGCAAATCTTATTTTCTTCCCAAAACTGGACTCAGTGGCTGAAGAAAAGCCAGAATCTCCCCTTGTCTTTGAGTGTGCAGGCCTGCCCTGTGTTGCTGTGACTCCAAGCATCCACACAAGTCTTGCTTCTCTTTTCTCTGACCACTTGGGCACAGTGTGACTTTTGGATGCTGGTGCCACATTATTCATAACTCTGAGTGCCCTCCTGTGTCATAGGCGAAGCCTCGGTGCAGTATGACTTGTCAATGAGGGAAGTTATCCTTGTAATTTCTACAGAAAAAACCTGGATGCAGCAAATCTGAGCTGACAAAATTCAGGCCCTTTCCCCTTCTCTGGTCTGCTGACAGAAGGAGCCAGTGGAGATGTCCATTGTCACATCATTTTTTCCTACATCTACTAAAATTACTCAAAAATAGCAAGTGTATCTACACTATTTTCAATTCAACCAAATCTCTCAGTAAAATAGCAGAGTATTTTCCTGTGGTTTTAAAAGACTAAAGTGATTTCAGCAAAAAGAAATGTGATTTTGCAATGACCCTGCTAGGCTGTTACCAAGTTCCTCATTAACCTGCTAAAACATCTCTTGCTGGCAGACATTTCTTTATGTGTTAGACCTTAGCCCCATTTACCCTCAACTCTTCCAGCACTAGATAAATGAACACATTAGAATGGATGCTGAAGGACCATTTCACTTCAGCCTGGGCACAAAGGAAATAACTACCCCAAAAGCCAACCCTCCCCCTCCCTGCAAAGAAAGAAAGAATTGGCTGTTTGTAAATACCTTGCTTCCAAAGTCCTCTTTCTACAGCAGTTTTTATTGCTCCAGAGGAAAAGGTAAGATTTGCCTGTGAGAGTCTGCCCTGAAAAAGCAATATTTCTGCATTACTTACTGACAGCAGTGTTTGGGGGTTTCCTTGCTGATAAAGTTGAGGTTGCTGCTGTTTGGAGCAGCAATCTATCGTGGACTTTCAAAAGTTAACTGGCTGATAAAGGACAGCCCCTAATCCTTAGAAAATGAGTGCACTCAAGACACAAAGGGCTTATCATCACAGTTGGGCACAAATACTCTTTTTTTTTTTCCATAATACATCAGAGCACAGTGTATTGATTATCTGTTGCAGGAATAGAATTGTAAATACAGTACATTCTTCACTGTCCCTGCACCGTAACATCTGCAAAGTCTAAGAAAAGCCCTTTTTAGCTGAATCTCTGAGAAATTATGTTTTTAAAAATATTCCAGAAAGACTAAATAAATGTAAAATTAGAAGAATGACACAGCAGGAAGGATAAATACAGTAAATTGATCATGTTTCCTTGACAGTCTAAGCTATTAATTACACTGTTACAAAACAATAAAGCTCTTTGCCTAATGCACCAAAAGCCTACCACAACTTTCATTCTTTGCTTCCTGCTCTTCCCTTCCTCTTTCCTTCACCTCATATGATTGTTATTCTCACACTAGGGAGTCTTACCTCCTCATGTCCTTTTAAATATTCCTTCTTCTGTGTTCAGACCAGGTAAGCAAAACATTTTGCCTCCATTTCTTGATCTAAGTAATTCAAAAACAGAGCATCTTCATAGGACAGCCCTCTCTCTTCAATCTTCCATCACCTCAGACCTTTTGTTGGCCCTTCACTTTCTCTATCATGGGCCTCCTGCCAAGACAAATGCCTCAGTCCTCCTCTTGTACTGCTCAAAGGATAAATGTGCTTCCTGCTACCTGACCACATTACAACTGGATCCATTGCTGCTGTTTATCTCATCCTCAGTTCTTTATGCTGCTGGGTCTCACTAATATTTTTCAGACCCATTCCCTACCTGCAGCTCTGGGATTTCTAGCATTTATAGAGGAACTCTGTCCAGTCATTCTCCTGGAGAGAAATTAGTACGCATTTCTTTCAGCCACATGATCTTACTGCTGTTAATCTTTTATCTCTCACCTGACTTTCCCCATGATGCTGACAAAACCCTAACCAAAATGTTGTTCCCTTTTTCCTTCCAGGGCAGTTTTGAAAAGTGCACCTAATGTAACTCATCCATGCAATCTCAGGGCACTTCAATTTCTGTCCATTTCTGTTTGCCTACCTGTAACTTCTTCTTGACCTCAAGGGACTACCCTCCTCACTTAGAGAAGATATTTGAGTTGTTAAAAGTCAACCAGTTCTACTGAAGAGGACAAAAAAGAAATAATTTATTCTGCCAAAAACAATTAGCATGCATTCTTCTTGAACAAGGGTTTTTCAGTCCCATAGTTCTGTGATCAGTTTTAGTCTCTCTTGCAATTTATCTTGCCTGCCCCAAGATCTCCTATTACATTCTCACCTCCAAAATGGTCTTGCTCATTGTTCTAGATGTACCATCTGCTGGTAACTGTGCCTGATTTGCCATCACAAGAATTTTTGAATACTGAAACAATAGTAGTTTCTGGCGGAAGAACACTGCCACAAGAGACTGCAGTGGACAGATGGTCCTTCTCCCTCTTCTCTGTTTTCTGAGGCACTGAGGAAGGTGCCCCCATATCTTCATGCACAAAAGTGTGTCTTACCACAAGATACACAAAGTACATACTACCACAGCACACCTCTTGATATGGTATAAAGTGGAATAATTTGAAATAGCAATATGTTAACATAAAGAAAACAAACAAAAACCCTGTGCTGTCTCCTCCAAGAAAAAAAAAAAAAAACTCACATTTTTGGATTTTGTTACTTTATAAACTCATATTTTTCATGTTTTTTCCTGTCAGTTTTTGCGTTTGATTACTTACTGTCCAACAAAAAATGCTCAGGTTTTGGTGTTCTTCCCTAACTCTAACTCAAATTTCTCAACACTGCACTCTTTAGACCTTTCAAGTCTGTGTTTTGGATAAGCTAAGCAGGAAGTATGTGACATGACATTTGGGGGATGTCCCGTGCAGGGCTAAGAGTTAGACTTGATGATCCTTTTGGGCCCTTTGCAACTAAGAATACTCTGTGGTTCTGTGAACTGTTTGCATGACTTTTCTCAGCAGCATTTTCTGGCTATGTTCTCCATGGTGGAAGCCATTCCAGTGAGAAATTCTGAAGGTCCTAAGTGTCCCATCCCTGGAAACATTCAAGGTCAGGCTGAACAGGGCTTGGAGCAATCTGCTCTAGTTGAAGATGTCCCTGCTCATTGCAGGGAGGTTGGACTAGATGACCTTTAATTGTGCCTTGCAACCCACACCCAATCCTCTGGTGAGTCCCATCCTGATGGGACTCCTTCCCCACATCACCTCCCAACATGTGTATGCCTGGAGGAGGAACTCCTGCTCTGGTCCACAAAAGGCAAAGCAGCCCTGGCTCTGACAGGGTCAATCTTCTCTGGACACAGCTGCCTGTGAGCCAAGGGAATGCTTACAGCCCTTCTGGCTCCCAGCCAGCTGGTGGGCTGCTGCAAGCCTGGCCTTGGAAGAATTGGCCATGAATTTCTGATCACACCCTGCTGGCTGGCAATAGCCTCCCTGCACCAGACTGAGCCCTGGAGGGAGGCTGATTGCTCCAGCCAGCATCTGCTCTGCAATGCAAAGGCCAAGAGATGGTAAAAAACAACAAATAAACCAATTAGCTTAAAATAATGTGATGAACAAAGATGAGCAGCTGCAAGGAATGGAGCTGAAGCAGGAATATTGTTCCTGCCATTAGAAATACAGTACTATAGCTATTCCTTCTGCAGTTTGTTTTGTTCTGCTGACAGCAGCTGCAACCTTAGCAGAGAAGCCCACCACCAAGGAGGAGGACAGTCAGTTGGTAAAGTAAGGCTGAATTTAACCTAAATACCTGTGAGATTGACCATGCATCAGTTAGTTTGAAATTCAGATCTTTTCTGGGGTTTTGGGTTTGGAGTTTTTTTTTTTAAGGAAGGTATTAAGTTATCTAAATTGAATTGCAAACATGTTTTGCAAAAGAAAGCCAAAGACTTAGAAGCTGAGAGTTGAATGCCAACAAGTGACCTTGTTGTTGTTCAAAACACATCATTCTGTTGTTCTCCATACTGGTTTATCCAGTCTGAGGTTTCATGGCTTTCTGCACCCTAGGCCAGATATCTGCTGCAGTTCTCTGAAGATGTAATTATTACACCTTGTGCCTGCAGGGCACAACTTGAGTACAAAAGGGCCAAGCCTGAAAGAAGAAGAAGCAGCAAACATCTGTTTTGAACTTTTATCATTTTTTTTAGGTAGACTTGTGAATGTTTTATGTGGTAGAAGTAGCAGAAACTTTATCATTAGCTTCAACAGCTCTCCTCTAATATGGAGTTTTAACTGAGAGCAAAGAAAAAATGCTCATGTGGGACACAAATGGTATTTAATAAGAGTAAAAAACCCTGGAAGTGAGTGAGGAAGCTGTGTCAGAGACTCAAATTACCATCTATTAGGCATTTTATATAGATGAGTTGGAGGCAGGCAGATAGTAAGTGCCTTCCTACATTTCCATTTTATTCAAAATACATTTCCTTGGAAGTTTTTTTTTAATTTTGAACTGATGGTATATTCTATTGCCAAGTTTTTTTTTTTCTTTTGAAGACAGATACCTTACATAATCCAGTGCCAAGAAACTGTCATGCAAACCTGTAGCATACTATTATTTAGATAAAACAAAGGCAAAAAAAAAAAAAAAAAAAAAAAACATTCTATTTCATTTGTAAAGCAGAATCTGGCTTTGGTGGTACTAGCTCATACTGAACCCAGTAAAAGCACACTCCTGAAAGACTGAAACATAGAGCCTCCAGCAATACATCCTCCTGTCAAGCAGACCTTGATGCTTTCAGTTTGGGTTTTGGTGTACACTGAAAAGCCAGGGTGTTAACTGAAAGCACAAGTGGTCATCTGAAACAGAGGAGTGTCAGAGTCTAGGGCAATGGAGAAAGCAGAAGGTGGCTGTGGCTGTGACATGGAGTCAGGGACATGGAGAGGAGCAAGCCTGGACTAAGACATTTGCTTTTCTCACCAGTGCTATGGAAGGTATGGAAAAGTACACAGTGTACTAATGCCTTGGCTCTCAGTGAATCCTGACTAAATGACTAAAGAGAAATCCTCAGTCAGCATGTGCCTGTGTGGGCACACATGTTCTTGTGTGTGTTTATGTTTGTATGTGTGTGTTTGTGTATTTCAATGCAGATAAGGGATTTGTCAGGTTGGTAGTCAAATTAAAGCAATTTCTAAAACAACTAATATGGATTGGACAATAGATTTTCACTGTAATGCAAGCCTAATGCTAGTGTCTTTCTAATCACCAATACTAGTATGACAGCTTTTCTCTGCCAGGGGCCTGTAGCAGATACTTAGGAAAAGTATAAAGGAGAGTGTGTTAAGTATAAAGTGTGTGAACTAAGCACTACTTCTAGTAGACATTCCCAATTTAGTATTCTGTTGTTCAGGGACTTCACAAGGCAAATATGAGATGTGTAATTGTGAATTTGATCAAGTTCTCTTTTAACCTATTTTTACCTAATTTAATCACACATTGTGTGATTAGTGTGTGAAAAAGTGCTTCCTTTCATTAGATGTAGATCTTTAGACCTCTGAGCCTTGCAACTGGCTGCCTTCCTCCCTGCAGTTATTGCACTCAGAGAAATGGTGAACCATCCTCTAGTCAGAATTTCATAGATCTCTCCTAATCCTCCTCAGGTTTTCTAAACCTTTTCTCCTATGGAAGGGATTCCACCTCCCCAGTGACCCTTGTCCTCCCTTTCTAACTTTTTCTGCTGTTTCAGTCCATTAAAAAATGCTTTTCTCTGCTTTCCAAAGGGTAAATACTACCAAGCTGAAGAATTCTGCGCACTCTTTATTTTTTGGTTTGCTGGTGCATATCACACACAACTACAGTGGTACAACCATGATTTTTGTATCACTTAACTAACATCTGTTAAAAAAGAGCTGCAAGCAGCAGGCACTATGTTAAAATGCTTGTGATTATTAAAAAAATATGTATACAATCTATTATTAAAGTTTTCCTGGGATTGGTATAGCTGAGATGTTAATTAACAAGCCTTCTTCTGGAGAGGAATTGGGCTTTTTTTTTTTTTTTTTTGGAGGACCTTTCTCAACTCCAGTTTTGCTTTGTTCTGCTCCACTCAAAGCCCCAGATCAACAGCCATTAATTTCCTCTATCAGCAGGATCAATTACAATCCTCCTTGAAGTCTGCTATAGTCTTCCTGAGCTATCTGGATGCACCAGGTATATAGGACATTAAATTCTCCCTCAGTATTCTTCCATCTGCTCACTCACCAGCTGCAGACTAAACATGCTTGATGAAATTTTGCTGTCAGTTGTACTTGTCTAACTGGTTATTGTTCTTCAGTGGAAGGTAGAATATAAATGAAAGGAAGTGAAATGGTGTCCAGCATCCAGTTCCTCCATCTCTTCAGCATTTTCACTGCTGGTGGAGCACAAACTAAAACCAGAACTGTCAATGGCAAAACAGCCAAAATATCACAGGGTAATGGGTAATGGGTAATGGGTAATGGGTAATGGGTAATGGGTAATGGGTAATGGGTAATGGGTAATGGGTCCTAACACCAGTTTCAAGTGTAGACATGAGATTGAGAACAAATTGGAGACTAACTACTGTCTGTACGAGAGCATGAGGCATTCTGGATTTGTAAGAGAAGATGGGAATCTGTCCCTATTTAGTTCAAAACTGTTAATCTTGAACACTAAATATGAATGATTTAAGAAACATCTCTGTTAATTAGTTCATGGTTCTACCTTCTTTTTCATCATGGGACAAGACAGCAGTCTGACTCATTTGTTTTCCAGTCATATCCTCCACAATTCACTGCTGACCAAACAGGCTCTCAATACCACCTCCTGTAACAGCATCAGTCTTTCACTCCTTATACTTCTCTGTGCTCCTCTTCTCTCAGCCTTCTCAGTCAGATGCCTCAGACTGCTATCCAAAGTGCTTTTTACATAAAGAAAACCCACCCCAACCCAAACCCCCAAACCTCCTCTCTCCCCTGCTTGTGCCTTCACCCTCAGATGCCCCATCAGAGGAGAATTCTGCAAGGTGAGAGGAAGGTGCCTACAGGAGAGCAGCCATCACAATGAGGGTAACACAGACAGGCAGAGTCCTAGCTTTGAAAAAGAGATCATTTTGAAACTGAAGTTTGAATGTGAAAAATAGAATGTCTGGATGCTGGCAATAGGCACTAAAATTGTGAGAGATGGCAGATACATAATTATGAAGAGTAAATATGAAGAAACAATAAAAATATTTATCTGAGTTAAAAGTACTTTTTTGTATAAATGGAATGTATAATATTACATATGTAGTAGATTCATTGGTATTATTATCTTACTGCTTTCACATGTATGATTTTTAAATGTAGCTTGTGAGTTTGGATGTGTAACTTCAAAGGGGTGCAAGTTTTAAAAATTGAAAGATAAATCACTTCTGCAAAATTGGACCCCTTTAACTTTTCATTAATCAGTAACCTAAAATCCTGAGCTACTGGCACTGTTAGCTCTCTCTTGGCCTGGCCTTTGGCTTTGTAATATCACATAACAATTAGAGGTCCTTGTCTCAATAAACAGTGAGCTTGCATGGAAAAAGAGAGATGCTTGTTTGTTTGCTTGCAATGAGAAAAAAAGCTTATGCTGATCATTTCAAGAAAAAAGACACCTTTTTTACATGAGTGTAGCGCTGAGAGGAGTGACTGCCAGGCTTAGGAAGAGAGGCAGAATCTTAGTATGTCCTTCCATACCAAATTACCTAGAAAAAACTTTCTAAACATTTTCTGTTTGTGCTCTCCAAAGCTTTCGCAGGTTTACACGATCTAATAGTGTAACAACAGCTGTGCAAGCAGACCTGGATTTCCATGAGAACTTTGAAATAATTGACCCTCAAGAGGACAATACATGTTCTGGACAAATATCAAGACAGTTTTCCCGAGACGCAAGCACCTCTACCGTTAGTATACAAGGGTCAGGAAACCATTACCATGCATGTGCAGTGGATGATGACTTTGAGACAGATTTTGATCCGTCAATTTTACCTCCTCCTGACCCATGGATTGACTCTATTACTGAAGATCCTCTGGAGGCTGTTCAAAGGTCAGTGTGCCCGCGAGATGGCCACTGGTTTCTGAAGCTACTTCAGGCAGAGAGAGATCGTATGGAGGGTTGGTGCCAACAGATGGAGAGAGAAGAACGTGAAAACAACTTACCTGAAGACAGTAAGTAACTATGCACACTAATATTACAACTGCAAAGAAGTATTTAATATAGGTCAAATTCACTCCAGTGAATTCTGTATTGAGCTCTTTCTTACTTAGCTAATGAAGCTATGGCTGTGATTCTCAAAAGGACTGTATGTATGTATATTACAATCCTTATTAAAGCTGACAGGGAATGCAAATGCTCGGAGCTTCTGAAACTCCAGTGGTATTAGTTTTTGGGATTGCATACTTCAATGGATAATGAGGAGAGTATGGTTAGGGATCTTGTAGTATTGATGTTTCTTAACTCTTCTGTTTGAAATTACTTCTCATAACTTTACAATATAGTTTAACAGATTGTAGTTCCTTTTAATTAAATTCGTATTTCAGTTGCCTTTTCAGATGGTGATTGGCATAGAAGTATTTAGATGTTTCTCCCTACTGAAAGAGATTTCACTTATGCTTCCGAATTGTCTCCTCACTCTCTCTTCTCTCCAGCCTCCCTACATCTCCCTTGCTATTCTCATTTGCTTTGCCCATCCCAATAAAAGAAGCTCTTTATATTGTGTGATAAAAAACCACACACATGAAAACGACATCTCAGTTGTCACCCCTGTCAGCAATATTAACCTACCTGTAAGGTAACAGGAATGTCTAGTAAACTTCATTACTCTGGGTAATGAAGGGTTGAGGGTTGAGTAGTTCACATCTTATTTGTTCACTCTAATTAGGGCAGAAGGGCTGAGCATGTGTTTCCTGGTTAAGAAATTTTTTCTCCCAGTAAAAATAGAAGGGTTTTTTCCATTTATTTCTCTTACAAGGAGCAGTACTATTGCAAGCTGTCAGCTTTAGACAGAGGTAAACCTGTGAGCTTATGAACATGCTCCTTGCAAGAAAGTTGTTCCAGGTTCTAGAAGTGAGCTTCTGGGAAACAATAAGGTGTAGCTGCTTATAGAGAATTCAGTTTTTATAATTTAGGCACACCTAAGCATATTTTCCTGGATATAAAAGTAATATTTTTCCAACCCCCAAATTAGTTTCTACTAAGGACTACTACTTCAGCTCCAGAATTGCTTCTTAAAAATTTGTAACCTTTCCTCTCAAGAAGAGAGATGTTTTAATTATTTTGATTGTAAAGGTTTTGATTTATGAAAGAAATTAACACTGGAAAAAAACTTCTTAGAAATGCATAAGCTGTTTCTGCTGGAACTGTCCATTCAACCCAGTGAATGAAAAGGTATGATATAGATAGTCAAAATCAGACAAAATTGTAAGCAACTGGAAATTGATTTTAAAGGCAAGTATACGGTAACCTGAATTTTAAATTATGTAAAGGTTTTATATTTCTATAAGATTTATGTTATATAGTAGGCTAACAATTTCTTCTGAACAAAATGTATGGAAGGTTTGACCTTAAAAGCAGATCCAGATTGCCCAAGTTCTAGAATTTTAATCTCATTTTTAACTAACACTATCAATGCATTCAAAAATCTCTTCACACATGTATCAGAATAAAAGAGTTGCTGTTGTTTCTGTAGTATGAAGAAATAAATATTGTGAATTATGAGATTTTAGATTGAAAAGAAGTGTTAACACATAACAAAGAGGTAACACACAACTTTTATAAGTCATAACAATTTATGACATATGGAAAGCATAGTCTATGATGAGGGTGGTGAGGCACTGGAACGGTGTTGCCCAGGGAAATTGGGGATGCCCCATCCAGGGTTCAAGGCCAGATGGATGGGCTTTGGGCAACTTGGACTAGTGGAAGGTGTCCTTGCCCATGGCAGTGGGGCTGAAACTAGATGATTTTTAAAGGTCCTCTCAAACCCAAACTATTCTGTCTTTTTATGAACTGATAATACTGGAAAAACCTATAAATGTTTTATTTGTGCACCAAGGTAGTTGGTGCACCAATAAAGTAGTAGGAAAAGAACATGAAGTGAATTTTACGAGGCTGATAGATGCAGAAAATGCATATCTGTACAGAATTTTCTCTCAGTGTCTTGGTGTCTTTGATATAAGACAGTTTTAAAGGTCTCTTTGAGCAATCAGTGGGAGGAGTCAATTATGGGGAGTATAAGGAAATGGTTAGGCTGGCTATTGCCAATGCCTCCTCACAGCACAGCTGGCATGTGCCTGGTGTCCTGGTGCTTTTTGTGGTCACTGGAAATGGCAGGAGGAGAAGGGTCACCTGGGTTTGGTAGCCACTGTTGCAGTACTTATTTTGGAGTGATGCTGTCAGCTGCTGTGGCACGTGGCAGCTGCCTCCCACAGAGGCTGTGCAGGGCTTTCTGCTGTGGCTCAGCACGTCCCACTCTACCTGGTGCCAAGGAAAAGCATATGGCTGGGGCCACTCTGCCCGCTCAACAGTGCCAGGAACAAAAGCCTGGTTGTTACAAACCCTGCTCTGAAAAACGTCTTTTTCATACATCTATACACTTTAAAGAGAGAGAGGAAAGGAGAAGAAGAGGTGCGTTTACTTTGCTTTTCCTAATGAAACATAACCAGAGCAGGGAATGCATCCTTTGTTTCCAACCTGACATCCCCACCATGTGTTTGGCCAGATAACAAAATAACGAGAACGTGTGATGAGCGAGGTTTTCTCGATGCCATGGCAGCTGACAGAGGGCTCATCCCCCCGGCGCTCCGCGTAAAACGATCCGCGCTTCCTCCAGACAATGCGGCCCTTGTGCGGAACAGCTGTCTCGGGGAGACGGCTCGCTGCTGTTTGACAGTAGCTTGTATGTTACATAGATACGTAGGGTATTATCTAGCTGGGAATGGATCTACCAGATGGGATTGAATGCTTCTAGCTGGGAAATGGAGTCTGCTGCTCGGTATAAAAACAAGCTGTGGTTCAGCGGCTGCACGATGAAATGCCAATATAGAGAGAAATGTGGCTTCCCTTCTGCCATGAATTATTTATTGTATGGTATATTCTGGTTTTATCTGAAATCATTTTCTGATAAAGAGGCAGCATGTGTGACAGGCAGATGAGCACCACTCACACTTTAAGCTAACATACTTGGATATTATTTCAGTGTAATTTGCAGTTACAGGGAAGTTGGCTACAAACTCTAGGGCTCTCATAAAAAAATGAAAAGATGTTACACGTCTGAGGCTAAACACCTTGAGAGACTTGATTGACGCTTTGGATCAGGCCTCAAGTGAAATCAACTGTTGACTTTTTTGGGGGGTTTCTCCTTAACCATCTGCTTGCTCCTCCTACCTCTCCTGTGTAAAATTTCAAGTAGTCATAGCTTCACCACAGTTGTTGGTGACTTTTGGCTCAGACCTCTATTGTCACCATTTACATACAAAATTAGCAGCATCAGACCTGGCTCCCTGCGCAGCTCTGACCATTTTTTTTCCCAGCAGCAGTGGGCACAGGGACATATCCCTATGGCCTTGACCAGTCTTTGGAGGGGTTTTTTTTGCTGTTGTTTGTACTGACCTTCTTGGAAGAACTAGAAAGCTTCCCCTGCCCCCCCCTCCAGAAGTTTCTCTTTCACATGAAGTTGTACTGTGGCTTTGGTGTAAAGATAACCATCAGAAGCAAACAGCAGGCCTGATTCACCACAAGTCAGGTGTAATGTGGGTTTAGTGGCAAGAAAAGCCAGTCCAATCAAGTAAAAACTAAAAGAGAAAACCAAGGCTCTCACAAGACCTGTCATTATAACTCTCTTGTGTGTATACAGTAGCCCTCTGGGCTAGTGTGTGAAAAAAGGAAGACCTCAAATCTACAAGAACCTCACTGCTCAGGACCAGAGCCTCTACAAATTCATCCAGTTCTGGCAAATTATTCAATGCTTTAATACACTGTCTGCTGTTTTGGTTTGTTTCAATTGTTTCAAAAGAAGACACAAAAAGTAAAGATTAGACACGAGAGAATAAAGTTTAGGAAATAATAATAATAGTTGTGCATGGCAAAATAAAAAGAGACCCATGAGCTCACTCTCAGCCATAAGCACAGAAAACCATTTGCCATTCCTCTGCAGGGCTTCTCCAACAACCCCGGCCTCTGCTGTTCCAAGGAGTGAGACATCCTCATCCTGCAGCGGGCTGGGACAGCCGTGCAGAGGGATGGGCACCAGCCTGACATGTGGCCGAGTCCTGCTGGAATCCCCCTGGCTATGTGCCTCTGGCCATATGCCCAACTCATCCTTTTCTTGTTCTGGTTTTCTTTTGTCCCCAGAAGAGACTTCTCAGTACATGAGGTTTTCTCAAAGAAAAGCCAGCAAGGAAAACTCTAGCAGTGCCCAGAGGCTAGCAAAGCAAAAAGTGAAATCCACAAGCAAGGAAACGATCTAGTTAAGGGGAAAAAAATACCAAAAACATTAAATGTGCTAATAAAAGCCAAGTAAGTCAGAGAACACATGGAAATGGCTTTAAACCAAATGAGAAGCATTTGCTCATGCAGACAGCCCTATTAATTTCAATGAGATCACTCCTGTAAGTATATATGACTCAAAGAAAGGACTGCTCCTTCCCTAGTTTGTTCCATTTGGCTGTTTTCTCCTTAACAGCTGAGCTTAAGACCTGAGCAGTAGCTTTAACTTTGAATTTCCTGGCTTTTGTCATACTTGGCATTATTTAAATGTAGGTCCATCAACATGAATAGGCTAAAATGCTGGTCCATCCTGGCTTGGAAATGGATTGTGGCAGCTCTGTGGCAGGATTGCTTCATATGCATAGTGCCCAGCCAACATCTGCAACGCAAATGTCAGGCTGTGTCCCTGTAATTTCAGCTATTGTTCCTGCCACTTGCTCCTGGGGCAATGAGCAAGTCCCTGGTATTCTGTTCTCTAGCTTGGGCCCTGCCTATCAACCAGGTGTTTTCATGTTAAGGGCATTTGATAGTCAGGAGTTGTAAAGTGCCTCCTTTGTCACTTGTTAGAACCTGGGGCCTGTCAAAGTTCAAATGCAAATACATCAGTTGGGATTTTAAGGCCAAATAATGCTGTCCCTTCTCAAAACTTCCCTGGCTTCTCTATGTGATTACTTTTCACATCACTTCAGATGGATTTTGTTATTTTCCTATATTTTGTTATCCTTGTTACACAAACAGTCACCTTCCTAGTTAGAGCAGATGACAATAACTATTTTTTTTGCTTGTGTTCACAATTCTTTTATTTTGTTGTTTTCCTGTTTCTTTTCCAATGAAGACATGGAGGAGAGGAACACATAGAGCTCCACAATTTCAAAACAGGTCCTATGCAATTCTTAGAACCAAGAGAAGCAAGAACTTACTGCTTGAACAGCACAAAATCCAAGTCTAGTTTCAAGGATGTTTTAAAAGAAGAACATGTTGGGGGGGTTAAAGACACAAGGATATTCACTGTCATGTGTCTGTTCTAGAATAATATTCTGTGATTCCTAGATAAGAACAGTAATAGTGAGGAGGTATGCCACGCTAGCTGAATTCCATCAAAATTGCTATAAGTTCTTCAAACACAGCAAAAATAGACATAATTGTCCATGTCTTAAATGTCACAGGAGAGAACTGGATTTACAAGGAAGATAGGTCAAAGCAAGAAGGGAAGGGGGAAAAAAAGGGAAAAATTCAAACTATTAAAACAAAACACTGCAGTACACATGCTTCTCCCTCTGGGGAAGAGGTGACAGCAAAGCATATGATGGATGTTAATAACGTTGCTTAATGCATTACTGGAAGGCATTCAGATCCAACAGTGCTGAGTGTGCTGTATAGCCCTGTATGGAACAGAAAGCAGATATGAATAACATTATATAGGTGTTAAATCCATTATGATTGCATCTTTATGGATTGGGATTTTTTGTTGCTTGGTTTTATATTTTCTCTTTGTATCCTATTAGCTGAACATATCAATTTGAATGTTTATGTGTTTTTCCTCCTGTACCGTAACTCCCTTGCTGTTAAAGATTTGTCTGATTCTTTTCTGATTTGTTTTGAGTATTATCTTTGTAATTCCATTTATTTTCTTGGTATTGGGCGTCAAACCTGCAGGCTTTTTTTCTAAGAAAATCCATTGGTCTATTTTTGCTTTTGATTTTTCACTACACCTTGGCCTTTCTGTTGGGCACCAGAGATTTTGACTAAGTAAGCAAAATGAGCACTGTGCCTTGAAACACTAAAAGCATCGTGGGTTTAGAAACAAAACTTAAGCTATTGATAAGGCTTTGTGTCTTCTAGAGACATTCCTTTCAGCTTTTTGTATGCTTTGTGTTTTGTCTTTTTTCTCCCTTAACTTCCGTGACAGAGTTGGTTGTTGACCAGTTGCACATTAACAGACCCCTTGCTTTTGAGGGGCAAGGAATCAGTGACACTTGACTAGATACAGCCACAGCTACAGCAGAAGTGGCAACAATAGAGAACAGCATCAGCATGCATCCCGCAGTCAGCTGGGATGATGGTTTTTAGGCAAATAGCCAGTCACTAGGCAGCCAAGGACAAGGACTTCCTTTTCCCTCTGCTGAGATCTCTGAATATTAAGCTCTTCTTCTCCAAAAGAAAGAGGCACATTACCATCCATCATCAACAAGCTGTATATATGTTTCTTCATGCTTGGAATATGATTTCCAAATCATTTGCAGGTTTCCAGGAAAAGCCCACCTTATTATTTTTTTTTTTTATCCCAAGAAGTTGAGAGACTTTTTTCTCCCCTTCTCAAGTCTTGGGAAGCGTCAGAGTGGCCAAACTCCAGATGAGGCAGCTGTTCCCAAATATACTCAGTGGGAAGAGTTTTCATAACAATGGGAACCACATGAAAGCTCTCAGAGTAGCTCCTCCTACTATTGAAAAGTCCTTTCAGTTGAGTGGTTTGCATATTGGGTTGCATAAATGACTAGACACACCAAGGGGTCCATTTTCAGCACTGTGCGCATAGAATTAGACACGCAAGCCTTGCTAACAATAATTAGAATTGTGTGCAAAACTCCCTGCGCAATATGCTGAAAATATTTTGCTTAGTGAATCTTCCAGCTCACGGCTATTTCCTGGCAGTTCTGAGCTGAGTTCTGAGAACAAAATGAAAGTCTGGGCTCTGTGTGTGTTCACAGAGCTCTCCTATAGGTTTGGAAAAAAAAGAAGTGAAAAGACTCTTTTCCCTCCCCCTTTCTTTCCCCTCTTTTGTATGTCTGAAGTATAAATGAACTCCGCATCCCACTTTTCCTTCAACAGCCTTGAGAAGTGAGCTTTGAGACTAGTGAAGGAAAAACCACTTGCCTTGAAGGAGTAGAACACAGATTTCATATAAGTGTGTATTGAGTTTCAGTTTATCACAAGTATTTGTGCCAGTCTGCTTAGCATGTGGCTACTCAAACCCTTGGAGAGGCCTTTCTCTTACCAATGCATGGTGGCATTCTGGTAGCCAGCACTGCAGCCAGTCACAGGACCAATGAAACACTAAAACTCTTGTTAGAAGGGGTTTCATGTATACATGTATGTGTTTATTTATTTTTCATTGTGGTAAATCAAAATACTTAGCAGTATTTTCCCTGGGGAGCTCTGTCTTATCTTTTATACAAAAAGTGACTGTGCCCAAGGGATGGTGCAAAAGATGGCAGCTTAGCACTAGTATCTCTTCTAGGCTCTACCAGCAATTCACTCACCTTGAGCTGGCCACTACATCTGTTTATTTTTCCTGTTCCTCCTTCACCTGCCTTGTATACCCAGACTGTAAATTTATCACAGAAAAGTTGCTGTGTCTATTTGAGGGCTGGGACAATGTGGATATCTCTGAGTAGAAATGACAGTGAGAATTGTGACACAGTGGCTACCATTCATGTTTTTCATTAAGGAAGAGGTAATATTTTAAAAATTCATTTAAATTAGTTGTTGAATCACTTGTTAACCAGAGAATTGGGGATAATAAGTTGTTTCAGCTAAGAGAGAAAATTAATGAAGGAATCAGATAAATCTGTGATGCCAACCTGTTTTTTTTTAAAGACAGTTTTGGGGATTTTTTCTGAGCATTGGAAATCTCAAGCAAATCCTGTTTTCTGGATTCACTGTTTTACTGCCAGCTGAGGCCATGTCTGCATTTCTGCTGTGTTTCTGCATTCTTGCTTCTTTTTTTACATATACAAAGGTACATACGTACACACATGTTCACACACATGTAAGGTACAAACACAGAGTCTCCCCCTGGACCAGAACTCCCCAGGGAGCCTCTGAATGCACCAGTCTGTGCCTCGTTTTGGGGCAGTGTATTCCAAACTACCCCTGTAAAATCCCAGTGTCTGAATGCAAACAAAACAGTGTGAGCTCCTGCTTTATTCAGAGGCATTTACTATGGGCTGTCTTCTGGTTCACTGCAGCCCTTCACAGCAGTCGGTCAGCCCAAAGGGGCAATAAGTACCCAGCTGTCTGTACAAAGAAGTCCTCAGTCAGCTGTGCTAGGACTCTGACATCTCCCAACAGCAAGGAGGAGAGGCCAGGGTGTCATTACTCCATGAAGTACTCCTGGGCATTTGTATTCAAAGGCAGAAGCAGCCTTGGGTTGTGCTCATGGAAAGTACTCAGAAGGTTCAGATGAGATTCAGTGGTGTGCAGTAAAACAATCACCCCCTTTCTGGGGCTCTGGTAGATGCACCTGACTATAAGGCCTGAGTTGCTAAGTGAGATGGAGAAGCAAACAGGGTTTGAGAGCTGCATGTCCTTGTGCAGGGATCTGGGTTTGTATTCAAAGCTAGAGCCTGGGTCACAGTGATACGTGTGGTGACATTTCTGGTGAGCTTTCTATACAGCCTGCAGAAGCTTTTGATTAGCCACGTTTACACTGTCATTACGACTGGTTACAACTGGTCTCACTGGAGGAATGAGAGTAATAGCAACCTTTTGCACATTTTTTGCCTCATGGAGATCTGACCTTAGACTTATCAACTTTTCTCTCTTTGTGACTGAAAGATAACATACCTTTTGAAAGCCAGAGCTGACTGCTGCAGAGCTTTCTCCTCTTTTTATAGGCTTTTAGCTGCCTGCAGCAAAGAAAGCATTGTGATTTACTCTTCTTTTTTCTCTCAGTTCTAGGGAAAATTCGAACTGCAGTGGGCAGTGCCCAGCTTCTCATGGCTCAGAAATTTTACCAGTTCAGAGAACTTTGTGAAGAAAACCTGGTATGTAATTTTTTTCTGCTAGATACTAATGTGTGCCTTTTACTAACCCTGTGAATAATCCTACATAAACTAAACTGATTTTCTGACTGACGTGGCAGTTTTCCCAGTAAAGGCCTTGATATGAATTTGGGAGTAACTCAAACTTGTCAGAGTCAGCATGAGTTTTACAATAGCTTGAGACCCTTAAAATAAAGGCAAAAAGCTTTGGGTGAACTATCACTGAGGCTCTGCTACTGACTTTAGAGGAGAAAGGATCTTGACCATTGAGTTCATGGGCACATGGATGGGTTAAACACCTTAAGGTCTTTGAGAGTGGATCAGAAGTCTCCTGAGCTGGGTTTTCCCAGGTGTTCCTGGGAAACAAGCTCCAGACTAAAATCTACCTCAGTGGACAAATGCAACAGAAACTGGCTCTGTCTTAATAAAATTTTGAGTTCTTAATATAACAACTGAAAAAGCTTTCTGATTGCACGTCTTTGCAAGTAACAGCCTACGAGCAGGCAACCTGCTAGTGTCAAGCACTGAAAAACCAGGAATTGAAGTATAATCTCTGGTCTCCTTATGACTCTAAAAATATATACTTTATTGTTTTCAATAATTGCACCTTTCATGGTATAATCATCCTACCAAAATCCTTTGTCAGTGTGACGGTGAAAAGCACAAATAGAAATTTTATAAGACAGCCATAAAAAACATTATGCATATAATACATGTGCATAAAACGTTATGCAAGGTGCTACTAGTAATTTATTTATTAACAACAAAATTAATAACAATATATCTGTGTAGTCTGACAAGGCCACAGCACCCATGAAGCCTTGCTGACTGGTGTAGGAAGTCCTCAGCATTTATGAACAAACATGCTTGAAGTGAGTGTATGCAACATCTCAGTTTAAACAGTTTCATCTGGGAACCAACTTATAGGGACACATCCTGGAGAAAGACTTCCTCATGCAAGCTTTGCCAGTGGAGCAGGAATTAGGTTTTGGGTACGCCCACTGCATGCAAAAAGTGTTCAGAGGTGGGGTGCAATGAAGGGACAGGATTTATTTGGCCTGGCCCAAGCTGTGTTGAAGATGCTGACTGTCCAGATGCTGATTTCTGAGCAATGTTCTTGGGCTAATGAGTTTGCACACACAAAACAATACTCCCCACCTGTATCCCAGTTTTGTTCTTCCCAAAAAATATACCTGTAAAAATGGGTTTACTGTGCTTCTGCATATAGCTTCTGAGCTTTTCACCCTGCGCAGGTAGGGTGAACAAACAACAAAACAAACAACAACAGAAAAAAAAAAATTGGCCTGAGGTCTGTAAGAGAAAATTAGTTTATTTCTGTAAACCTTACATTCTCAGAGTGCAGAAAAAGTGTTCAAACATTGATATATCACCATTGGTACATGCAGGAAATGTACATTTGCACAGGTTTCACTCTTTTTTACAAGTGTGACATGGTGGGCAATCCTTCCTCATGAAAGTAAAGAGGAGGCTGGCAGTTCATTTCAGTGCAGATAGGATTGTCACCAGTTGTGCCCAGGAACATCCCTAGGCAGATCCTGCCACAGGGGCCCTTCACCCTTAGTCTGTGGTGGGTACCCACTGCCTTTGGTGAGTGGGTGTTTGCAGGGCACAGCAGCTCAACACCAAGCCAGATTCCTCAAAATAAAACCTGCCAGTAAGTAATGCTTTGCTTTGTTCCTCTCTCTGAGACTCACCCTTCACTTGGATCTGCTCAAACTGCTTTGCTAGCCAGATCTGTAACCATTTGCGCAAATTCTTTACATTAAGAAGTACTAAAGCCAACATGTTTTTTTTCTTCTGTTACACAGAATCCTAATGCACATCCACGACCGACCTCGCAGGATTTAGCAGGGTTCTGGGATATGCTGCAGTTGTCCATAGAAAATATTAGTATGAAATTTGATGAACTTCATCAGTTAAAGGCCAATAATTGGAAACAGATGGATCCTCATGACAAGAAGGTAGAACACTGTAGATTTTGTATGCTTCATTTAAAACCCTGCACAAATACTGGACAGATTAAATAGGCCTCTGTGTTACAGTGTTAACATTAAAAATGTGAAATGAAGCTCATATCAAATTAATTTCATTGTAATAACAATGTTTACATAATAATCATCTGAGATATTATCTGTAATATGTTTCAGGCGTATTTTTAAACCAAATCTGTCTTTGTGAATCGGATAATGGGAATGTGGTACTTTGTTAAGCTTTACATTTAATCATATTAGATGATCAATCGTTGGAAGGAACTGCCTTATATATTGATTCTTAAAATTAAATAAATCACATTTACGGTTCATATTATTGCATACAGCAAGATTTCTAGGTTTTGTTACTGAAAATACTAGGGAAGCACTGTAACCATCGCTGACTTTGGTAGCCAGGTTACAAACAGCAATATCAAAAAGATGTCTTCCAAAATGTTACATGAAAAAATTACTTTTTTTTTTTCCATTTGTTTGTTTTTTATTCATTTTGGGCTGTTTTTAAATGGATGATTTCACAAACACATTCACTTTCCTGGTATTGTTTATCTGAGGTAGCATAAAAACCATCTGGAGCTTTGGTGGGGGTTTTTTTTCCCCTTTTTGGATTTTTTTTTGGTAAATGTACTTTTCTTTTGTCACCACGAAAAACTACCACATCCACGTGTAAGTCACATTTCACGTTACATTCTCATTTGGCACCATCTCCTTTTTTTTTCTCCTCACTATCCACCTCAAGACAAAGAGCATTTGGGTGAGCCAAAATACACAAATGTTTCAGAAAATCCTTAGAGCACAGACCCATTCCTAGAGGAATCAACAGTCTAATATCGCGCTCCTGTAGGTATGTAATTTGGTGGCTGAATTTCCGCTGTGACTGGTCTGATAGCAATGAACACAGCCAACAGGTAGGGTCACCAGAAGGAGGGGGAGCACAATTTGCAGGTACAGTGTCTCAGACAGGAGTCCTGGCTACCTCAAATTATGGTCAGCTGGCTGCTGATAACCAAAGTGGTGTTTTCTTTTGGACAAATAACCATAATAATATCAAACCCCGTTAATCTTGCAGCAGGAAGCTTGTACAGGCAGTGCTGGTAGCACTATTCCTCCTCCTCCTCCTCCAATCAAGACTAAATATTCATTCCTGACTTAGGAGTGCCATGTTCAGACCATTTGTGCACACCTAGTGTGTTTTGTAGGGGAATGAATGGGAATGTGTTTTCCTAGCCCAAGGTACTGAAGGCAAGTCATTTTCTTATCTTCTTTTTTTTTTCCAGTATCTATCAGAAAAGAAGTTAAAACTGCCAAACATGCATGCACAGAAATGCTGGTGTATGGTCTTTCATTAGCTTTTACAGTAAAGTGGGTAGGCTGAGTGCTTGCAATTGCAGCAGTAAGAAATGAGAGCTTTCCTTGAAAAAAAAATGTGCCTTTTCTTTGCTTCTGAAAAACATTTCAAAGTGTTTCCAATAAAAAGACTCTAAAAGTTTAAGGAAGTTAAGTAGTGCTGAAGAAAGAGACCTACAGTAGGCAGGTAAAGATTTTAAAGAATTACACTGTGTTCCTGTTTCAACAGTATTTGTCTATGATTTTACATGAAACAGATCATCTCCTTTCTTAAAAAAAGGATTTTTAAAAAAGGAAGAAAAAGCTTCATGTGGAATTGATATTTGCCTTTGGCCTTTGCCACTGGGCCCTTTCTAAGCAACATAGATTAATCCTTGGAGAGAAAAAGCAAAGTATGAATAAGTGTAACTAAGCACCTTTATATTTTGAGCCATGGAAGCTGTTGTGAGCAGCATGAGAGAAAACGAAAGGGCAGAATGGGATCTTTGTAGTGTGATAAAATCCCTTTGCTCAGAGACCATGTTCACAGTTGGAAGGGGATGTAACTTAAAAGACAATCTAATTAACTTGACAAAGTCTTTGTGGATGCCTGAAATTCAGTTCTGAATACACTTTTCTTTTGCAGGAGAGATCCCTCTCTGAGGGGTTTTTGGTTGGTTTTTTTGAGGGTTTTTTTGTTGTTTTTTATGTGTGTATGTACATGCACTGGGATATACATAAAAGCCCTCCTTGTTGGTCACATATCTGGAGCTAGCTGCCACCATGATGATTAATGTCTGTTCTCTTAACGGTTTTTAAGTTTTTCCTATCATATTTTCTATTTCTAGCTGAATGTAGCTTCATGCCTATTTAGCACAAGGCCAGAGCATATGAGCTTGCACAGCAAGACCCAAAGCATGGGATTTTTAAGCAGTCACTAAACTGCTATGAAATAGATACATTAATATGTCGTGTTTTTTTTAAGAAGCACTTTTTGTGATGCACCAGCTGCAGACAGCTAGCTCCCATCTGCATTTGGGAACACCAAAGCCATGGCACCTCCATGTTGCAGGAGCACCTAGAACTATGCATGGATAGAAGAGGGTGGCCCAGGAGCTGGGGCTCTCCAGAGTTCCTCTGCTGAGACCAGCGTTCCCTCCCGGCTGCACTGGTGGTGGGAGGTCTGTCTCTTTCCTAGTCCCTGGCACTAAGCAGGTAGCAGTGGGGGCCCCGGCCCCAGCAGCACTGTCCCCGAGGAGAAGTAGTACGGCGGCTGGCCCTCCCCTCCCCTTTGCCCTTGCCCCATGTTTATGAACCCTTGAGCACAAAAGCCAGTTGACTGAAGACAGAAAGGCAGATAAGAGCTAACAAACCTTAGGTAAAATGTGTGTTCTAACTACTGATATATCCTAGTTTTTCCCGCCTTTCCCTGAGAAGCTGTATAATGCCATTAACCTTCTGCTTTGATCAGGAGAGAAGGGTCCCTCCTCCAGTGCCAAAGAAGCCATCGAAAGGTCAGGTGCCACTCATACGAGAACGCTCTCTGGAAAGCTCGCAGCGTCAAGAGGCCCGGAAACGGCTGATGGCTGCCAAGCGCGCTGCGTCCGTTCGCCAGAACTCAGCTACCGAGAGCGCCGAAAGCATTGAGATATACATCCCCGAAGCCCAGACCAGGCTATGAAGGGATCCAACCGGGAGGACTCTCTGGCAAGACAAGCCTCATGTATAATCTGCCCCTGTAGGCTCCTGCTCAAGGTCACCACAACGTATTTGTACCTCCTCCTCTCTCTCGCTCTCTCTCCTTCCTCTCCCTCTCCCCTCTCTCTGTACGCAGCTGCCCCGATGCTCCCAGTGAACTCCACTGCCGTGGCGTAGTTGTCGGTCCTCCGAGAGATGTCCTCTAATCACCCTTGCTTTCTGAAGGTTCGCCCATGTCATCACAATGCTTTGTCACATGTACTGATGCTGCCACTTTGCCTCATGTAAACGAGCACGATCCTTTTTTCTTTTCTGTTTGGAACCAATAAACGCAGCACTCAGACTTCCACGCACCCGCACACCTGTACAGTAGATGCTCCATTTAACTTACTCATGATCTTTAGTTGATCTAAAGCTAGTCTGTTATCCAGTGTACAGCAATATCAAACTGTAGGGAACTTTGGTATTTTCAGTCATGCAGGGTGATCCTTTTGGACTCTGCCGTCTTCCTCACAAAAGATGAAAGGAGCTATGACTCGGATTCCCTTCTTTTTATTACTTTTTTTTTTTTTTTAAAGCAGATGGCGCACTTTATTCTAAACCTCCAAACCACATCTTCACCTGAATCACACAAGGGGAGGGAGCTGGGGTGGGAGTGGGGAGGGGGGGACAAAAAGAAACCCCACAGCTCTGGCAGGTGAAAAGGTGGAAGTATATCCCACAGGTGAGATGGCAAGGGATATACAAGATTCTGTGGAAAGATACCTGCACACTCACAGCTGCACAAACTGCCTCATTTTTATTTCATCAATCACTATTTAAACATTTCAATCAGCAGAAGATTGTAAATTCGATCTTCCAGGGAAATAATCTATTTTGAAAGGCAATAAAAGAGTAAAAAGGAAGGAGATAAGAAGCAATGACAGTTGAAGAGATAATATAAAAGAAGGATTTTCTTGTCCAAGTATTAAGAATTTTTAAAATTGTACTGTATTGTCAATTCCTCTTGTATTGTATTGTATGGATTATATTGGTTAAAAAAAAAAGAAAAAAAAAGAAAAAAAAAAAGATTGGTTTTGTTGATGTCTTAATCTCGGTGGGACCATCCAATCTCATACGTCCACACAGCCACACACGGACACCTGTAGGTGAATTACTGTACATGGACCCTCTGATGCTTTTCCAGTCCAGGCTTGCTTTGCTCTATCCACAGCTGGTTATATGCTACAGTTCAAACTACTTATCACCAAACCGTCCGTATTTAAGAGTAAATTTCTAATTCAGCCTCCTCTTAATAGTATAACGTACTCACTTGAACAAGAACAATAGACTATTTTTCACAAGTTATGGGATCAATATGAACTTAATGTTTTTCACGACAAGCCTTCCTACCCTGGCTTCTGCCATTGTTTTGCAATCACAAAAAATATGCATCCTAAGTAGCTCGTTAATAGTGGGCAGAAATGGCAGATAATAGGGCTGGAGAGGAGCCTGAGAGGTCAGCTCCTGTGTGTCGGTCCCCTCCAGCCACCTCTGGCTGGGACAGAGGCTTGTCCTCCAGCTCCTCTGATTACGAATGATGCCGACCACGCTGCTACTGGAATCTCTTGTGCCAACATTAGGAAAGCTATGTCAGGCATGTTGCTGAAAGCGAGTTGTGTGCGTGCGTGTGAGCGTGTGAGTGCGCACACGTGTGCCAAACTGGCATGTGCTGCTGCCAGCAGAATTGGTGTGAGCTGCTGTGGGTGCCAGGGCTGCTTTGGGTGGCAGGACTGATGTGAGCAGAGGAGTGTTGTGCAGTCATCAGTGTGTGTGCAGTCCTGCAGCAATGTCTCCAAACTCCTCTGCTGCTCGCTACATGCTCTTCACCCTGTCTGCCAGGGCAGGGGTATGCAGGAGAGGAAGGCAGGCGCTTTCTGCTCCCAGTGGGCACAGGCACAAGGACAGCCCCACCATGGATGTGGCAGCCCTTGCTGCATGCCAATGCTGGCTGGCTGTGCCCATGGCAGCTCAACCTGTATGGACAGTCCAACCAGTGAAAAGCCCCACTGCACATGTGGTGTAATTCTGCAGCTTGCACTTAAAAAACGTTGAAAATCATCATTGAAAAATTAAGCTCTTGCTAAAAGTATCCATCGAGACCATGCCAGACAGCTTCTTTTCCTATGACATCATAGCCAGGTGCTAATTTAATTTTTTTCAAGAAAACAGGAGAGGTAATAGGTTCTGGCACCAAGTATTTTCATGAGAGCATACTAAAACCACTAGAGAATTTGCTACCTCTCAAAGCCATCGATATCTGAGCTATGTCTTTATAAACAGGGCACAAATATTTACTGCTGTGGTTTACAAGATAAGGGCTAATAATTTAATATATAAAAGACTTTTAACTAGAGTAATGAGAAATCCAGTGTAACTCTAGAGTGCTTGCTGTTACAGGAGCTTCAAAAGGTTTGACCCTCTAAGCGTTTGAATACCAGTGTATTTGCTAGTTTTGAAACACTGCGTTTAACTTTTAGCAGCAACAAAACATCACCGTGTTTGCAGTATGTAATAGTGCCAACTGCCACTTTTGAGCATATATAGTCATAGGAAGTATTAATTATTTGGAACTCATTTGTACTGGATTATTCAAAGCAGTACCTAGGTGAGAGTCCACATTCACAACTGTGTTGCAGACTTACTTAGTTTTGTGAATGTTTTATGAAAGATGAGTTAAGATTTTGGTTGACAAGTGGCTACAGAAATTTACATCCAGCAAGTTCCCCCCTAAAAAAGCAGAAAAGTGAAGACTATCTAGTCTTGTACATTACAAATTATTGTATTTGTATATCATAGAATATTTTTTGTATCTATTTTAAATGAATTTATTCTTAGCTGAATGATTGTTAGTTCGTTTGGCACTGGAGAGGTTATTATAATGTTTGCCTAGTTTTTTAGCAAAATATTAAAAATACAGTCAATACCAGAAAATGCAAAATAAAATAATTGCGCCCATAGGATGCCACTAGTTAACCACTTGACTCATTTACAAACACTAATGCTAGTATATTTGCTCCATCATCTGTTTTAGTATAATTTGTAAGTATTTGTTTTTAGTCTAAACTGCCCAGTGTATTTTAAAAATGCCTATATTCTGTTTCACTTTGGGACTAAACTGTTGGTTTTTTTTGTCTTGGGGGAAATTTTAGAAAAGGTTGGTTTTGTCTCCTGCTTCAAAAGCTTAAAAAAAAAAAAGAGGTATTTATTATATTTTTTGCAGATGTTTCCATAAAATTCTCATAATCTTTTTGTAAAGAAAGATGAAGAAATGGATTAAAGATTTTTAATATTTGAAAAGGTAAATAGAAATAATTTATTTGTAATATATTTCATTTTATTTATTGGTGTTCCCTTAATGCTTTGATGTGCACTATCACTTTAATTTAAACTGTATCTTTGTGGATTTATGGGGGGTTTTGGTTTTTTGGTTTTTGGTTTGTTTTTTTTTTAAGGAAAACAGTCAAATGCATATTTTAAGTAGTATGTAAATCACTGGCCTACCTGCATTCCCAAATGTGATTTTAAAAATGTTTTTGATTTGAAACAAAAGACACAAATTTGAAAGCCTTTAGACAGAAAAGAGTGGTTTTATGGCTTAATGATTTGGGTTTCCATAGGATTATCTATCTGGTTTGTGTGTGGACAGGAAAATGTAAATAGCTGAATGTTTCCCATAATGTAAAAAGAGCAAATTAATAAAATAATTAATGCACTGCTTGTAAGAGCTGTGGGTTTTCAATGCAAATTCATTCTTCCAGAACTGCCAAGGCATTTCATTTGATGTGGTCAAGGATAAAAGCACGACAACCAGAATATTTCTCTTAAGCTCTCATTGCTTAAGACTAGCCCTGCAAAGTCTCATCCAAAGCATCCTGCTGAGCACCCTGGAAGTGTTCATCTGCACAGAGTTGCTCCCAGGCATAAAAGTTGCCATGATCAAGGCCTTGAGCCTTAGCAAAATCTTCAAAGGCGCTTCTGCACAGAACCCAGCCAAACCCCACTGAAGATGCCAGGAGTTACACTGGGGACTTCAAAAGAAGTGGCAAGAAGACCCCAGCCTGTTTGGTTTTCCCCTTGCTGGTTCCCTTTCATTTTCTGCTTATGTCCCGTGATGTCTGAATTTTTGGGGTCAAAAGAGATCCCTGGCAGGCATAGTTGACTTTCCCTTCACTGGAATCCTGCTTCCAGATGGGGTTTTTCCTGCTGTGTGAAATAAAGACAGTCATTAAATAGCACAGAAACATGTCCTGGATGATGTTCATGGTTATACCAGTATTTAAACAGGTCCTGATTCAATCTGTAGTACCTAGTAGTTACATTATTAATGTGCTAGTGCTGCACTGTGTACTGTCTGCCCATGCTTAGACCCTCAGCACAGAAAGACCAGAAAGATTTGTGCTGCAGATCCATGGGCAGGGAAAATCCTGCTTAACACCAAGATAAATGGATTTTTCTTCACATACTGGGATTTATGTGCTCATTAGTCACTGATAAATGGACGTACCAGGGGCAAGTGCAAAAAATGCTTTATTACTTAAAAAACTTTCTGAGGTGTCTGGTATCTTTTTGCAATGAGAACAGCTCAAAGGGAGTACAATAGCAGGTATGTTTCACACTGTTCTCCAGCAGAGTAAGGAAGTCCAAGGCTCAACCCCCGCCTTTCATGCAGGTAAACTTTCTCTGTATTTATACTCAATGTTTCCTTCCAGATCAAATCAAAAGCCTTCCCCAGAAGTATATCTCGTTGTCAGTTTGTTTGCCAATGTCTGTTCTCTCCTGCAAGACATTGTTTTTGCATCACGCAAGAGGCAAATAATTCACTTCAGCTGTCAGTTTGGAGCATGCTCACCTATCAAATCTGATGACTTTGAGCTGACATTTCTGATAGGAATTAATGATAAAAATATTGGCTGCTCTGCTGCTACTGGCATTTGTTGTTGAGGTCATAGGTTTATACGCGACTTAGAGTGCAGAGAGCAAGTGAATTTCTCTTTTCCCACCATGCATCACATAACAGGGTTGGGTCAGGCCCACTAGCTACAGTCCTGCACTGAGCAAACCTGAGAGCAGCACTCACAGCTGAAAGATACTCATCCCCTCTCCCTTTAGTCTGATGCTATGCCAGTGACCTATAAAACATTGCTGTGCTGTCACAGTAAGCTCATTCACAACATAGTCCCTTCCCGGTGCTTTTGCATGCGGGGAGGTTTTTACAGCCCCTCTTCTGCACGGCCGCTCGGCCACCATTTTGTGGCAGGAGAAGGTAGCTGCTCTCACTTGATTCATCAGGATGCATTTGGATGCCAGCTGCAGAACATGACGTGACTGGCCCTTGCAGCCAGCCGGGAGGCTTTCCCACGCTCGGGTCCCATCGGTGGACAGCACCCTTCTCGGTCGTGCGTGAGATTACAGCGGGTCCTCTATTGCTCCGTCAGTCACATGCCCCATTCGCAGTGAGACAAAGAGGCGAGCGAAGGAACAGGGCTTCCTGGTAATTGTGTTTTTCATGGTTCTCTTCACTGATCCAGTAACAACATAATCATTGAAATTAGAGACAGAAAAGCACTGCCGGGGCATTGTGTTAGCACTCTGCCAGTTCCAGATTGCGATCTACGGAGCTGTGGCAGGTAAGTCATCACCTCTCCAGCTCTGCTCCACCCAGAGGGAAAAAAAAACACACATGAAAGAAGGAAAAAAAAAAAAAAAAAAAACCCCAATAAAAAAAAAAAAAAAAAAAAAAAAAAAAAAAAAAAAAAAAAAAAAAAAAAAAAAAAAAAAAAAAGCTATATTAAAAAACAAGCTGATTTGTGACACTGCCCCCACCTATTATGGGCTACTCCTGATGCAGAGGCCTTCACTCTTGTCACTTGTATTGACTTTTCATTTAACTATCTTTATGCCAGGGTGCTGAACTTTTCCTCATTTTCAGCCAAGCAGAATGGAAACAAATTATGGAATTTTGCCACCTCTGTTCAAAGAAGAGGAAGTACTGAGGTGTTGCAGAGCCTCTGGAGAAAGCAACCATTGCACAGCCCCTGAGCTACGCTGTCATATTTCAAAGATGTCAAAGGTTTTGGAAGAGGGATGGGCCTTCCCCTGAGTTAAAGAAAAGCAGTAGGACAGAGTGTGACGGATGTTTTATGGGTATCAAATATCTCACCAAGGTAAGATAAGTCACTGTGTAAACAACCACGTGCTGAGGCAAACACCTTAGTTACCACTAGGGAGTTGAGATGTTGAATAGCAAAGGGTAACCCATTCCAATGTAACTAGCCTATTTCCCCGGTGGGAGTGTCCAACCTGTCACTTATCCCTGGCTTCAAACGAGAGAATTATCAAAGTCATGTCCTTAAAATACTATATCTTACTTTTTCCTGTTGAACTGACTGTGGGTGCTCACAGATTCAATCTGGAATGGCTTTGTGAGTGTGCATTCAGGACTGTGATCATCCCTGGGTTTTTTTTGTAGCACTGAGAAGTTACTGCATTGCACAAGTTGGGCTATATTATTGATCTTACAGCATGTTCTTTTGTCTTTTTTTTTTTTTAATAAGTGGATATAATAATAACTCGCTGTGCTCCAATCCTTTTGTCAGTCTCCCAAAGAAATCTCCTATCACCTGAAAAACAACAAAAAAATACTGAAATGTCTTCATTTTATAGACTGTTCTGGTAAATCTTGGCTAAGCTAGGCCTAAGGGGAAGGAGTTTGAGATAACTGATGCACTTAAGCATGTGTCATTCTTCATCTCTCCAGTCAATAATTGACAACAAAAAGGGAAAAAATCATATGGGCCAGACAGCTCACAGATGATGCTCTAAAACTGAGATGGCATTTTGCTACGCTGTGGGACAATCACACCTGAAGGGAGAAATCCCTTCCCACCTTGAAGCAACGTTCCAGTAAATAGTTTTTAAATATGTGACATCCCTTCTCAGTGCATCAGTGCCACCATGACCACAATTCTACAATTTCTACAGGCTGCAGAGGCAGCATCAGCCACAGGGCAGTATCATGGTGCCAGCTGAGGGCAGAGAGATATACAAGCCCCTGGGCAACAGCAGGCCTTGCACAGAGCAGGGCATTGCAATTGGAGCAGTGGCAATTCTAGGGGAATGTGGTGTGCATGAAACACAACCCAAAAGTAATCCAGGTCAGATGGCTGCTGCTTCCATGAAGTAAGCTGTCATAGTGGGAAAGAACAGTTTGAAAGAGTGACTTTTCATCTCGCTATCTACTGTTTTAATCCAGCATAAGAACCAGGCTTGGAATTTTAGTGGTTACACAATTGCATTTGCAGTGTTGGGAGAGAAACCAGACTTCATCCCAGACTAATTGCCAGCTATAAAATTTAGTGGAGGCCTACATAAAGACAAACCTGTAGCAACTTCAATGGAAACATGTCCATGCATCAATCTTCAAGTGAATCCAGAAATGCTTTGCCTAAAACACATGAATTTTAAGTCATGATCCTCTGCAAGGGGATCCTCTGATCTTGCTCATTACCCTGTTTCACCACCTAGTAAGTATTGCTGTTATTTAAAAAATGTTAAAAAATGGTGACTTACATCAAAGAGGCTGTATGACTACACATAAGACAAAAACATCTCTGACAAATAGATGGTGTGTATCAATCTGAAAGACTCCGTGAAGTACTCTTTTGTATTACTAACCTAATGCTTCAACTTGACAAGAGGTTTCCTTTTGTTTACATCTTCCCTGGCAATAGCATCATGACAACTGCAGCCTGTCTGCAAGAACGTACACAGACCTGGGAACCCAGCCATACACTAGCAAACTGCAGTGTGTTCCACATGTTTCTTATCCTTTGCGTAACAACCTTGTGCTTGTAAAAAAAGCTACTTGTGTGCAATATTGCATTCATTGTGATGGTTCATGTCTATGAGCTTCTGCCAGGCAGTGTGGGATTTCAGGTAGGATGCAGCCCACCTCCTGTATTTTCTCTGAGATAAAAATTTCCTTTAGTGGAAGGTGGGAAATAAAACCAAGAAACCAAGACAAAAGAAAGAAAACCTGCTGAAGCACACAGCAGATTATTAAAGTTGAATACAAGTAGGTTTTGCTTGTCAACAGCTGCATAAGCAAAAATAACAATTCTGAAATTACTTCTAACTGGAATTGTTTTCATATCAAGTAGCACGTGTGAGCTTAACGCTAATGGTTCAAGGCCTTCCCAAGTGTCAAGTGGTGTGATTGCAGGTGCTGTCACAGCATCCCTGCCACATGCATCAGCAGTAGTTGCCACTGCCAGGGGCTGTCAGCTGCAGTGGTGGTGCCCAAGAGTCCTCCCTGTGGCACATCCCTGGCTCACACCTATGAGGGCATTGTGCTCTAGGAGCCACGTGTTTTCTGCTTTACCTCACACTGACATCAAGGCAGAAATCCCACCAGAGCAGGTTGAATGGATCTCCTTAAACACCAAAATTACACTCAAACTCCAATAACTACATTTGCCTGGGATGGAGGTTTATCTTTGAACTCACACAGCTTTTGTTAAATTATCTTTACTCCTCAGCTCTCTCTCTGCTTTTCAGTAGACAATGTGAAACTCTGCTTTTGCACCTCAGGAGCCAGCGTATTACATTTGCTCTGTACTTTCAGCATTGTAAGTAGGAGCAGAAGTTGGATCTGGATTTTTCATCCACTCTTAAAAGGTCAGGGAAACATGAAACCGCAAAAGGCTAATTCTTCTCTGTGTCACATTTCTGTCAGCCCACAGGACAACATAGCAGTGGTATTTTTAATGCTTTTTTTCCCCTCTGACTTTTCAATCCACAGTCCTTGGCACAACTGGTGACATCTCACGCAGTAGCACACTCTTGCATCATTCCTTCTAAGTTGCTTCTGATGAATATTGGGAGCACCAGAAAGAGTCCTGACCACTGCAGTGCATGTGGCAGGAGGAAGATATCACAGAGCTTGGCCTCCTCACAGGTTTTCTGGTTCTGGTGCTCCATGCTCACAATCCACATTCGGCACACACACGCTTGGTTATCATTAAACTGTAAATATTGCAAGAAGGTATTCAGCATGATTTAATATTCCTATTAGTGCCTCCAAAGGCCCAGCCAGAGAAGCTGCACTGTGCTGGGCTGAACATTGTGTAAATATTGATGGTTTCTGCCTTGCAGTGTTTACAATCCAAGAAGGAGCCCTGCACCAGAGCCCTCTGCTATGGTTTTGTTATTTGTCTTTGGAAATTATTTGTCTGATTTAAAACATCATAAATGAGCATGTCCTTTCTTCTGCCATTACTACTAGAGCAATTACTTTACACAGAGCTGTGAAGGTAAAGTTCTAGACCAAAATATTTTATCATCCTGATCAAGTATTAGTTTTTTGATATAAACCCAGAATCCAATACCTTTTCTGCAGCTGTAATATGCTACAATAAAATATGATCTCACAGTTTCCAAATCCTTGCCAGGTAACAGTGATTCAGCATAACTACAGCAAAGCATTGCTTTACTCCCCTGAACAGGAACATGCTCTCAGGTAAACTCACTTTAAGGCTTGATAATGGAAGAGGCTTCTCCCAAAGCCACTACACGGACAAGATATAAATATGTGGCAGTGGTTGTGGAGAAGCCCACATCAGGAATCAGGTAAGTTAACAGCAGACAATAAGCATTCCTGTTATATAGCAGGAACAGACACTACAGGAATGGCTTTTGGCCCGAGGCCAACTGCCTTGCTGAGGGTGCTGGTGTTTGGAAAGGAAATGACAAGTTTCTACAGCTGCAAGAGTCGGCACTGACGCACAGCTTGCTGAAACCCTCCCTCTGTCTGAGGATAAAGCCTCTGCAAGGGAGTTGGGAGCTGTACTATGCCGCAGAATACAGCTGGGCACCATTGCCTTCCATCATGCAAGCATAACTCCTTCAGAGTTTGAAGGCAAAGTTGCAAAAGACTTGCTATTCCTCAGGGTGTTCTGAAGATTATATACTGTCACCTACCTAGGCAGTGGGAGATGTTTCCCTATCTCGCGTGTCAGCTGAGCTCAGGGAGCAGTAACATGATTACAACACTTGAATGCTCAGAAATGCTTTCTGGCTCCTCATATCTCCACATCTGATCTCCAGGACACCTCACCACTGTTAAAAAGAAAACACCAGCAAACCATCTGAAGTGTGGGCCCAGAAGCAGCTCTAGCATTCTCCTTTTCCCCTGCTATTGCAGCCTGAAATTTCATAAATGGTATTTGTTCTTCCCACAAGCCTTACCTGATTTGGGGTAAGCTTAGAGTAAGGGGTTTCACCTGAGGCAGGTTATACGTGCAAACAAAAGAGTGGATATGGAAAGACAGCCTCACGCCGCCACCATCATCACTGCAGAGCCCTTCAACAAGAGATTGAAGCGCTTGTCTCTCCCTGTTCCCCGCATGGGGAAGTTCGTACCTTGTCCTTGCTGCCCGCCGCCGCGCACCCAGCGCCCCGGGGCTGCCACCAGCGCTTCCGTCTGCGCTGTGCAAACATCGCTGTGCCCTCTCTCCGCATGGATAATAATAGTGCCACCCTCCCTTCCCGCTCCCGGGAGCCATGGTATGGGCACCCAGCGGCAACTACAGATGGTGGCCCAAGGTCTGGTTAATGTTTCAGAGCTTTGAACCCACCACAGGTTGCACTTTGAGCCGTACACAGCACGTTATTGGCGGTCCTGGCGTTTAAAGGTTTTTTCCCAACAACCGGTTGGGTACCGGCTCCTTTTTTAAGAGGAGTCTGACATCAGAAATCTCATGTCCGTGTCTCACCTGATTTCCACCCGCACTGGTGAAAAAACAAAAAGCATTCTGCCATCACATAACTCTGATTTCCACAAACTTTGGGGGTCTTGGCACGTGAGAAGAGGCTTCAGCATCGCTGAGTGCCCTGTTAATAGCCAACAGGGCAAAGTTCTTGTTTCCTTTGTAGTGAAAAAGTTCAGGGCCGGATTTTGATTATCACAAGGAGTAGTAAAGTACATAGAACAGAGATCACACATTGGGTAAGAATTATCACCGAGGTGAAAAAACCAAACAGAAACAGCAAAACAAACTCCTGCCCAGCTGATGCAGCACTGCCCCGCATTCTGGTGTGTGCAGCCCCTGTACCTGTGCGGTATATGCGGCTTATAGAAAAGGCTGGGCAGTGTTCTGGATGCAGCACAGCCTTCCCTGGCACAGCACACCACCACAGCATGGCTGCCAGGAGAGCCCTACCAGGGCAGCTGGACAGTGGTGGGCTCAGCCTGCCTTTTGATATCTTTCTTCAGCATGCAAATTGAAGTAGACTGGGTGAAGTACCAAAGTCCAGTGTCATGCCATTTAGCTTACATACCAAAAAAAAAAAAAAAAAAAAAAAAAAAAAANGCTCAGCCTGCCTTTTGATATCTTTCTTCAGCATGCAAATTGAAGTAGACTGGGTGAAGTACCAAAGTCCAGTGTCATGCCATTTAGCTTACATAGCAAAAAAAAAAAAAAAAAAAAAAAAAAAAAAAAAAAAAAAAAAAAAAAAAAAAAAAAAAAAAAAAAAAAAAAAGTGAGAACAGAGAAGGTATCAAAGGACCTCTATTTTTATTTTTTTCTCAGGATCTGTTACCTTGATCCATGGTTAGGATGTCAAGCACTCATGTCTTGAATGTGGTGTTGCTGATGGATATACTCCCACACTACACCCAACATGTGTCTTTTACAAGGTTTTTGACTATTCTTTTCCAAGTCTGGGAAAGAGGAAAATTCACATTTTACACAAAATTAAAGTCCTGCCTGACAGCTCCGATCTGCTGACCATGCTCTAGTTTTGTTGCTGTTGTCCTGCCTTGGTTGGGATCTGGTGCAGGCTTAGCTCCCCTCAAGGTTCCCAAATAAATTATTTTGTGTCTTACCATCAGATTGACCCACCCCAAACAAACATCCCCAGTCGGCAAAAATCGTGGGGATTTAGAGGTGAAACATGAACACAGCACTCACAGTGGTGGCTCGGAGAAGAATGCAGACGGACCGAACTTGCAGACTCTGCCTGTAAATGCCACCAGCACACGCAGGGGGAGATCTGAAAAAAGCTCGCTGCTCCAGATTTGCACAACTGGACGGTGAGCAGAGAGGGGTAGGAGCCGTGGGAACTGGCAGCGAGGTGACACAGGAAAGCGTAAGGACTGCCAAACTATTCAGCTGCAATCCAGAGACTGACATTTGTGGCAAGAGCCATCTTCCCCCCCTCCCTGCAAATCATTCCCTCTCCTAGAGATTTGCATAACCCCGTGTACATTTCCTGCAGTCCTTGGGCAACGAATAGAGATGTGGTTCAACAATTTACAGGATCAAAGGCATATTATGATCCTATCGCTGGAACAGTTAAGTTTTTACATGTGGGCTTTTTAGGTATCATTTCTCAAAGATCAATCTCCAGTGTATTCCAAGGAAGTAAGTTTAGGAAAACCACAGAGCTGGGGAGCAAGCAGGATCACTTATTTTTTTTCTTATGTACAATCAAAAGCTTTTATTACGGTTTTCTAAAAACTCTCATTCTGTACCCAGCCAGTGCAGACCGGACACAGTTTGAGATCCCCAAAGTGGATCTCCTAGGCTGCCTTAGAGCAGGGGATTTCCTAGGGCAGGAAGCCCGTCCTGCAGGGAAGGAGGCTCAGCCAGCTCTTACTCCAAAGGCAGACAGGGCTGAGGGTTTTACAAGCGCCTTGCGTGCGATTTCCCTGCTCCCTGTCCAGGCCCCTGGCAGCTGGAGAGGAAGCAGCATGTAATGAGCCCCAGGTGGAGGCAGCAGCTTAAGCTCTGCATTGGCAGCTCCCCACACCCTAAAACAAGGGAGCCACTGGCACCCGGAAGGCATCTGGGGCAGACCACTTCAGCCCAGTCTGGATAGCAAATGCAGATGAGGGCTGGGTTAAGGCAAGGACTAAAGGCAAATCTTCAAGGAAGTAGAGGATCTGAAGTCAAACTCCCCCTGAGCTCAACAAGCCTCACAGAGCTCCTGGGTCATGCCACGAATGAGTCACTTCTGCCAGATGGGGAGAGTCTGGCCGACACAGGCATCAGCTGGTCCCTGCAGCCCTCCTTGCTCTTCTGACCCTGTGGAAGGAAACCTGGGCTTCTGCATCACTGCATTTCAAAAGGAAAGGAAATTAAATTTTTCACAGCGGAAATACCTGTTGCTTATCAGTGTAAATATGAGAGAAATTGACACAGCCCCCCACACCTCCTTTCATGCCTCCTGCTTATTTAAACTCACACTGCCACATCAGAGGAAGCTCAGTGTTGCTGGCTGTTGGCACAATACCCAGCTGGGCTTCACATGCTGCCCTCCCCAAGGCCACCAGCACCCCATGACCACAGGCAGGTAAGGAGTAAGGTGTTGTAGGACCAAGTGCAAACTCTCCCATGGGGAGACCTGCATGTCTGCATTCCCACCACCTCCTCCTAGGGTCCAAAGAGATGGTGAGGTATGTCACTCTCCCTTCAGAGGGTGACTGGGACTTTCTGCCTCAGGTGTCATGGACACAGTAGCAGGGGTCAAGGTAGGTTTGGTAGGGGAAAGGAGGTGGAAGGGCTGACTGTTTTACCACAGACAGTATAAACAGACAGTATTTGCAGATGCAAATCTATACACTAAACTGAGATAGTTACAGGACGATTTTTCCACATATCACCAGCTAAGGAAGAAAAACTTTTGAGGAGGCCTTTGGAGAAAGCTGGCAGCACATCACTGGAAATACCTTAGCTGTATGCAAGCCAGCTGAATTTAACATGAAGAATGAATTACAGAAGCATCTGCCTAAGCAGCGTTTAATACAATAACCTGAACTAACCTTTTTATTCAGGTTGGCAGAGGAATGTCTGCTTCACACCTCACCAGGAGAAGGTTCATGGCAGCAGAGCCAGGACTCTGAAAGCACACTGAAAGCAGCAACACCACTGACTCAAAACTAAAAATAATCCCTCCATTTTTGAAAATGCCCAATGGATTTTATTATTAATTTCTTCTTTCCTTGCCTTACCCCTGTCACAACACAGAAAGCAGAAGTAAGAAAATAGCAGAGCTATCTACACAGGGAAAATGTACTTTCTCTCATGAAGAGAAGTTGATCTGTTTGCATCAGAGCAAGATTTGCTGTTGTGGTTAGTGTAGTGGAGTAGCACAGATCAGATGCCTTTCACAACAGCACAAAACTAGTCAAAATATCTCTAACGTAGTTAAATGGACTATGCATGATATTGTGTAAGCACTCTCAAGTCAAACAGAGAAAGAAATGATAGAGGGAGAGTTCTAACAAGGAATGAGACTAGAAATGCAAAAGAAAACAAAATAAAACATTAGACACAAGGTCAAGCAATCAGGACATTGCAGGCTAGAAAAGGAAGTGAAATTACAGGCTCTGGCAAAACAGCTGAATGCTTGCTCAGGAAAATTACAAAACTGTTGAGATCCTTACCACCATGTGTCCTCTATCCAGAACAATTTCCAAGACAAGCTATACAAATTTATAAAAGCAAGCTTGGGAGCATCACATTCTTCTCATATTGGTCAAATGACTTTATTTTTTTATATAAATTCCAGGACCAATACATATATGGTATCCTTACTAGGATATATATGGGATATATACATATACGCACACACAGAGACAAATTTGCTTCTTGGTAAAATTTATAAGCTGATGGCAAATTATGATCAAGACTATCTTCTCCATCAACAGCTTCTAATGGGGGAGGCTTCTAAAGGCTAAAAGACCCCAACTAAACACTAAAATTTATTTGCCAATCAACAAAAACCCAATTTTGCTCCTGCAAAAGAGCTAAAAGACCAGAGGAAAAGTTGAGATGGGGAAGAACACTTGGTTTATGCTGAAACTAGATAGGACACATCAGTTAAAGAAACCAAATGGTTTATCCCTAATGGAAGCCACTCAGGCCCTAACTGGTTTTGGAGAGGAAGCAGAAGGAAGTATGGAGTGTGGCACATGATTTTCCACTTCGCTATCAGACTGTAGGGACTTCAGAGGCAGGATCTAACATTCTCTGTACACTTACAGAATGCCATACTAGTAAAACTATAGTCCTCACAGTTGGGAATTATTTCTTTACTACTGCATATAAAAATGAATATTCCCAAAAAAGAAGGTGAGTCCTGCCAACTTGTAAAATGTCACTGATGAAGGAGCTCCAGGTCACTATTTCCCCAGCAGTGTGGCAACTCTACAGAGATGGAAAAACTCAGAGAAGCCAGGCAAACATAGATATATCTACTGCAAAACCCACAGCTCTGGGACTGACCCACTCTCACTGTAGTCAGGTCAATCCTCTTCATCATCAGCTAAATGATGTGATGAAAGGCTTGTAACAAAACCACGTGCAGGGTTTATATATGCCTAGACAAGGGTTCTTCACTCCGAGAGGGTCATGTTGTTACACACCTAGAGATAGGGCTTGCTGCCCAGGGCAGGCACTGCCTAGGCTGCAATTAGAGAAAGCAGCCACAGCCCTGGTCTGTGGTCCCAGGGAAGCTATCCAAAAATAAACAGGGTTAGATGGTTGTCAGCTGCATTCATTCAACTCACAATCTGCCACCTGTGCCCCCCCCCCCCCCCCCTTCAGTTAAACCACTAATTCAAAGTACTCCTACCTCTGTGCCTTTTTACAGGTTTATTACACATTGTATAAGCAGCTGAAAGATCAACACCTTGTTTGTCAGTAGAAACACATAGAACTTGGCAGAAACCCTGCTATGCAGTGGAACACGGAGTAGCTGGGAGGCAGATGCGACTTATTCATGGCAGCCTCAGCTTCAGGGACTGTGATTCATGTTGCACAATGAAGCAGCTCTGCAGAGCTACAAAGGGCTGCGCAGTCGACCTGTTGGTGAAAGCTACCCTGTTCTGCAAATGTGTGTAGCAGGACTTGAGATTCCTGCCAGCTGTAGTCCCAGACCTGACACCTCAGAAAGAAAAAGGAGTTTGAAGGCAAATAAAGCCAGTTTCAAAGGGAAAGGTGAGATCCTGCTCCAGTTTTGAGCTGTCAGCAGGAGTGCATGCAAAATATAGATGGAGAAAGCAGCCTGAGTTTTTACTTTGTAGCATAGCTAGCACCAGTTTACATGATTTTCTGTGTGTGCAGAACTCCAGGCACTCATTGTCGTGACAAGGACTGGAATAGACACTGAACCGCACACATGGGTACAATTATCATGTCTGGAACAGCAACAACTCTAAGTGACATTTTGCTAGAGTGAGTGGCTAATCTAATCTCTTAGTCTGAAGGCTGGAACTCATGGGAGAAGAGCCTGCTGAACCAGCGAAACAGGACAGAGATGTAACAACTCTGGCAGTTGGTGAACAGGAGACTTTAAACAAGTAATGTCCTGAAAAGTGAACATGAGCTGTGTTTGTGCCAGTAATCCCTACTGGGAAAAAGCCAGGCGGGAAGCTGACAATTGCAAGATAACAAGTAGAGAAAAAAAAAAAAAAAAAAAGAAAAAAAAAAAAAAAAAAAAAAAAAAAAAAAAACCCTAACGAAATGAGTTTTAAAGAGAATATAAAGTACTCCAAGGGTTACCAAAAAACCCTGCATAAGTGATTGAAGAAAACTGGCAAATGAAAAGAGACTTTGACAGGCAGGACACAGTTAACTGCAAGTGGCCTAAATACCTTAGGTGTAAAAGTGGCCCTGAACAGGGTCACGGTGCACCTGGACTCCAGCTGCACTGCCCCTTCTGTGGGCTGGGCTTCCCATGCAGCCTTACCTCATCTCCAAGGGGAAAACCGACTCCCCACCACACACACCCTCTTTCCCTGGTTGCTGCTTACTTTCGTCTGCTTCCCTTTATCCACTGAAGCTACCGCACGCCCTCCGCTCTGTGCGGGCAGCAGGATCCTGCTGTTACCCGAGCCAGCATCGCCCGGGAGGGCGCAGCCGTGCGAGCTAGCCCAGCTCCCAGCTCTGCTGGCCCCATTCCCTCCCCACAGCCCGGGGCCAGCAGCTTCCAGCTCTGCTGGCCCCATTCCCTCCCCACAGCCCGGGGCCAGCTGCCGCAGCGCCGACGGCCCCACAGCCATGTACGCCGCTGCCCTCCCGGCACAAGCCCGAGACATGCGGGACACCACAAAGCATCCCCCGCAACAGGCTGCGAGACACCGCCCCCTCCCCCCTGCACGCAGGGTCAAGACTCCCTCCCCATTGTAATTGTTTTTGCTTTGCGCAGAGATTTATCACATGCAGCTGCCACGACTTGTTTACAAGGCACAAAAGCCATGAAAACAAGGTTGACGAAGTCTGCGTGTGAGCTGTTTTCCCTGGCATGAATTTGTCATACCTCTCAGCGCGCTGACGCCCTGGCTGGCCAGTCTCCAGTAACACACGGCAATGCCTTCCCTTCAGCTTCAGAGTAGCCAAAGCGTGTGTTTGCAGACAGAGGTTGGGTTTTGACAAAATTGCTTTGCATTTAGGTTTATCACTGGTGAAAGAACAGCAAAACCACCCATGTTGTCTCATTGCTTCTTTATATTATTTTTTTCTTTTCTATGGTAAAGTTTCACAAATAACTTTTTGTTTCATCTACCAGGGATCTGTGGCCAGCACTAAAGCCTTTGGTTTGTTACTTGGACTCCTGCTCAGTTCAGGATCCTAGCTCCACCCAGTGCCCTACATATACCTATCTTTGATAACTTCAGATAAAGTAACTTCAGGTTTACGCTCAGAAGAAAACAGGTTTAGGTAAACCTCAATAGCCAGCACCAAAACTATCATGTATCTTGCTAGATTACAAGAGACCAGAAACTCCTTTTTGATAGATTTTAGTGGGTACTCAATGTGAATAATTTTCTTCTTCTAAGTAAAGTAACACCTCAGGCTAGGGAAAAGCTTTTACATGGTGTGAAGTGCTACTCAGCCACAGCCATCTTACTTATGACTACAGCCAAACTTCCAGATGTAACCTTAATACAAGTCATAATTTTAAGAAGAATATAACTAGCCTCAACCAAAATTGGTCAACAGTGAAGTTCTCAGGGTAAGTCAGCAAAATGGAAATGCAGTGCTCATCACATAAGCAGGACCTTGGTGGGCATTTACATTAATACCACTTTGTGTGGCATAGCAGTAAATTAAAACACCAGAGAGACCACAGGGCTTTTACTTTCAATGAAAACTGTTAACCTGAATGGCAACAGCTTTCTTCCTCATTCTATTTTCATTTTCAGTACTGCAGCTGCTATAGTGAAATTACAGAACTGGTCAGCTCAACCAGTGAAGTTTTTTTTTATTTCTAAACTAGTTGACATTTTTTAAAGGGCAAAGTAATGAAGAGTAAAGATCTCTGAAAATGCCCTTTAATGATCTGAGTTTTCTTTATCCCACAGCACACCAACAAACTGTTTTGAAAAAAAAAAGGAAACAAATGAGGAAATGTCAAGCAATTCAAATAAACAATGCAAACGCATTTGTGAAGCTGTTTTTCTTTCATTCATGAAACATGGGTGCAAGGAGTGAATAAAGCTCCTTCCTGCAAGAACAGAAAAGGACAAGGTATCTTCCAAACCTTTATCAAAGATGACACTCCACTTTGGGTGTGTAGCACCCCTTAAGATAAATCACCTATTCCACAAAACCATGCCTATTAACTAACTCTTCCCTCAACGTGAACCTCACAGTGATAAAAAAATACACTTCTATTTTACAATTAGTCATTAAAAAAACCCAAGCAAACAATATATACTTAGTTATCCCAGGAAAAATAGCTCAAAAGTATCAAGTACAGTGTGTCAGAGACACTACACCAGGTTCTTCTGTATCCATCTGCAATGTCTTGAAGACAGTATACAGCCATCTCTATGTTCAAAATTATTTTCCAGCTTTATTTCCAAATTTTTTAAAAAATAGTTGCATATTCATACAGTGTATCAGGATGACTGTGTTACCAAAGCGGATGCATAAGTAAACCAGTGTTTAGTGTTTACCATTTTGATTTTAAACTTGAAGGTTCAAGAAAGGCACAAGTTCAGAAGAATTCCAAAGAGCACTCCAGAGAACAAACAGAATATATCTGACACTAGAAAATTATAAAGCCACAGCAAAACAGTATAGCAGTCAGAATATTGTAGTCTTCTTTCCACTCATAATATCCTTAAATTCACCAACCTTCCTGCTCCTCAAAGCCCTCCCCCAACATCCCAAACAGACAACTAGTTTGTTTTTAAAATTAGCCAGAACCAATTTTTTACCCTGGAGGTCTCTTATTTCATTGTTGCTGGAAGGATAAAGATGGGTGACTGACATTCAAGAAAGTTGAAATGTGAGCTGCAAGTCTTCACCATTTTCAGTAGTAAGTAATTTTGATAGCAAAGTCATTTTCTGAAAGACAACTTAGATTCTGTGGGCAAAAATACACCCCAATACAACAGGGATCTCTTCTAAATCTTAGCCAACCACCTGTTAAAGTATCTCACAAAGACCTGGCTCCCAGAACTCAGATTTCAATGCAATACAGCGTACTTTATTTCAGTCTACTAGAATTACTGAGTAAAAATCTTGTCATTGCTAGTCCAAGTAAGGCTAGAGGCCCTTGCCCTCCCCTATCAAAATCTGTCACCAGTCATGTCTAGGAGCTGCATCACAAAGATCTGCAAAGAACACTTGTCCCAGCTCCTCTTCTGGCCTCTTCCATCTATCTTCAGATCGTCCCCATGGGCCATAACATTTCCCAGCCCTAAAATGTTTCAAGGAGCCAAGAGCTGGAACTCTTAGAGGGGCCCAAGGTTTCCCTTTGAAAGTTAGGCTGAATTGCCCACATAGCTCCCTTTGGCCCCTTAAAAAATTTCAACATAGCAGAACACAATCAGGTACTTCTGACCCACTTTTCAGCATTCTTTTAAACATCTCGTTAACAACAACTGCTAGTTTGGTTCATGGCTCCCTGAACCAAACAAAGTCAGTATGAGCTCAAAAATATTTCTCACTTCCATTTGTTTCAAGGGCAATTCATGTTTTCTGCAAAGCTTGTATTCAACAAAATACTCTGTATGCATCACTTTTAAAGAAAATATTTTATTATATCATGGGAAAAAAGCATGATCATCCAAAGTTTGTATTGTTAAAAAAATTGAAAATTTAGACAGCGTGTTGGTATATTCCGTTCCACATGGGAATGATAAGAAGACTCTATATCATTACTAGATATTGCACAGTCTGAAAGAAACAAAACAAATCACATGGTTTTGGGAAACATCTCACATTATCAAAAATCTACAAAGAAAACATTAAAAAAAATCCCAACAAAACACACAATTCTTTCTTTCTACAGTAGCTTTAAGTTCATAATTCTTGGAATGACCATATTCCACTGAAGACCATCTCAGTGACAGGAAGCTTCATTTCAGCAATCCTCTTGTGCAAATAAGATTAATAAAAAAAAAATAATAATAATGCAGTGAAGTCTTTTGATATCGTGTGGGTGGCAATAACCACACAGCTGTTAGATCCCTGCCTGGTAAAATAAAACGGGGAAGGAGAAGGAAGGGGATTTAGGCCATAAGTTTTGCCTGCAACTCCATCTCTGCCGCCCTTTTGAGTGCAACATCCACCAGAAGCTGAAATCCACTAAAGTCCTGGTTAAGGTCTGGTGGTGTTGGAGGAGGAGTGTTAAAGAGCCCACTTTGTGTGTTTGCACCAGGTCCCAGTTTGGATGCGTCCTCATGGCAGGACAGGGGGCTATCTGTGAAGCCACCAGCCGGGGGCTGCTGCAGGTCCGTGGTCTGGCCTACATCAGCCGGCTGGCAGAAGTGGAAAGGGGCATCTTTCAACGCAGTCACAGTCGTGTGGCAAATCACCGACGGCCGAGCCAGGACCGATCCCGGGGAAGCCGGCTTGGAAGAGGACACAGTTTTGCTGAGCGGTGCGGCAGTGGGAAGGAAGGCAGTCTCATCCAGCAGGGGAATGTAGTTCTTTGTGCTGATGGCAGACTCCACCAGGCCACCCTCGGGAAGCTTGGTCCCTCGCCGCGAGATAGTGAACTGATTTGGGTCTTTGCCATCCTTCCTCAGCATGTCAGGTAGCAGCCTGCGGCGTGCATTGATAAACCAGTTGCAGACCTGGGAATATAATGACATCTTAATTTCTACCTTCATTCATTCCCAACTATGTGCCACTAGAGCGGACGGTTAGATTAATGAATCCCTCCAAGCAGTTTCCTTCACTGCACAACAAAATAGAGACCTACTGACAAGTTCTGACACGCCTGGCAAAGGCCCTTCCCTTGTCCCAGTGCTATGACTCCCTGCTCCTGTTACAGAAAGCCCCGGGACATCTGAAGTCCAAACTAGGGGTTTAGCTTTTAACTCTGTGCACACACATTAACCTATTGGCTATTGTTCCCTAGCTTAGGTTAATTAACAACAGGAAAACCTTTTCTCTCTGAAGAGAGCCACTCCTCCCACAAATAGTTACTGATTTTCCTTGTTCAACTGACTGTGTCGACAGACATAACATGAATTACCTCACTTAAGTTTGTCCTTGTTTAAATATCAACCAGTTTCCTGGGCAATACAGGATAGTTTATAGTTTAACGTCTTTTTTCTCTTTACTACATGAAGGAAGTCATCTTTATCATGTTGCATTAAGAAAATTTTACTCTGTAGCCGATTATGAAATTTGCACTAATGAATTTTTATGGAAAAATAAAGCCCAGGATTCAACAGGAGTGCTCTCTATTTAGCAGCTCCCAAAACCAAACCCTGGTTTACCCAAGTTCTTATGCAGCCACCTTCCCATAATATGGGACGCAGCAATGGGCAAAAGCTATTAGACCAAAGATGATCACAGAAGATGAGAATGATGCATCCAAGGGACCTCACAGATGCCAGTGGCATGCCAGGATGAGAATCCAAAATAAACACACAAACGCCTCATCATACCTGCACTAACACCCTTGAGTGGCTCTATCCCATATAGGTTGTTCCACTGATTTTAATGGCAGTGATCATACACATAATTATATATGTCCCTGTTCTACTGCAATGAGCCTCAAGTTGCCATTTTAGAAGTGAAGAGTTATATGCTAAGCTGCTCATCTATCACCATAAAACCTCTGTTGACAAATATATACCTTCTTCTCACAATAAATTACCTTGTACAGACACTTCATGTCTTTTGGAGCACTATTCTGCAAAAAATTAGCATGCATGCTCCAATTCATGACTGTCAGTTCTCCCAGAAAAATAATTTTATTCCAAATAAACAAAGATCATCATAACACATAATCAGTCTCTAATCTCTCCTTATGAGTGCCATCAGCAGGAGAGTAGCCATAAAAAAGGAAATCTCACATACAGTGTAAACATTTGTATACATGACTAGACCACAGGTGAATTAAAACAGAAAACAGCTCCTTTAGAAGGGAGAACTACTTTTTGAAATACCTGTAGTGTGGAAAGGTGTGTTTGTCGGGATAACAGCGCTTTTTCTTGCTCTGAAGGATAAGCATTGTATCGGTGCTCATAGAGCCAGTCCCGAAGAATCTGCACAGATTCCTTGGGCAGGTTGCCACGTCTCCTCCGTTTGCCTGAGCCAGCAGATGAGGAAAGATCCAGTGGGACATCCATAGTGTCATCATCCTCCGTTTCACTGCCTGATATTGCAACTACACCTACAATTGGAAGACAAGCACAATCAGCCTCCTAAATCCGTTAACTACTCAGCTCCAGCACCGTATGGCACAGACATTTTATATCACGTGAACCGTCTTTACTGTCACAGACCCTCGTACGGGAGATTCGTCCTGCAGCGTTAACTTGTCACGCTGTAGCTTTTCTGTCAGCTGAACAAAAAAGTAGCACCAATGATCCATTCCTAAAGGAATTCTCCTCTGCAAACCTTCATTTTCTTGTTCCCCTGGCAACCTTTTATGTGCTGAACGTTATCAGATAGCTTTTATCTAATGAGAATATTGTCCAAGTTTGCTGGCTATGGTATGCATCCAGCGCTTTTTTTCAAGGATAACTAACCAGTGGCTGGGAAAAAGGTCAACAAGCAAGAACTTAAAACACCCCAACTCAAGCAATAGGTTATTTAATTATTTCTTAACATCCTGATGCTTGCCTCCTGAGAGGGATAGGTTGTCAATTTTATAAATGACTAATTACATATATTCAGAAAAATTAATGGAGTAAGAAAAAAAGAAAGTGAAAAATTGTGTTTGTCACCACCCCTAAGGAGAGTTTCACTTATGAAGGGAAAAAAAGTACAAAAGAAGGGAAGAACCAGGTGCCTAAGAGTTCACCAGTTTATCAGGAAGTGGACTCTCATATAATTCTGTTCTGTATCAAAAAAAACATGATGTACCAGGTTTTATCCTGACTATTTTTTTCAACTTTGTGGTTTTCATCTCATTTTTTTATCCCTGGAAAGGTGTGTTCTGTGCTATGTTTGCTATAAGGGCCCCTAATTTACAAGTTAACTGCATACCTTCTCCCTCCAACAAAAAGGAAGGAACAGATTTCACAATGTGATTATCCCTTTATATATGTACACCACACTACTAGTAATATGAAGCTATGGAATGTGAATCAAACTCGTGAGCAAGTATTCAATAGTCAGGAAGGCTACAATTCTACTTCTTTGGTAGGATACACGAGACACTAGTTCCATAAAACACAAAGAAAATCATGCTTAAAACTCACCATAAATTTTAGGAATCTTACAAACTATATACAAGTCCAAATAAGATAATACCACATTCATTAATAGTACAAATTAATACAAATTTCAAGTGAACTCACACTGGCTTTCAGAAGCAGCTTTAGAAGCTATAGAAGTTAAGCAAGCCCTTCATCATTTTGGCTTTTGAACTTAAGATTGTGGGGGTGATGGGTGGAAAGGAAGACACTTGCTCACTTGTAACACCAAAACTAAAAACCTTAATAGTAAGGCCAACGAAATGTCAAAACTAAAATTTTCTGTGGGAAACCACCCATAATTAAAAAGTTCTGTTTAAGAAAATAAACTAAGCCTGAAAGAACAAGAAGTCAACCTGTGAAAATATTAAACTATATAAAAACGTGTTATATCCATAAGTAAAGGCACTTATGGAAGTGAGAAGTAAGAAGGAAGTAATGCCCTTTAAAAAAAAACCAACCAGATACCAAAGCCCCCACCACCACACAAAGAAAGATAGAAGGTATGCATGTGCAAGTTTTCCTTAATACTTGGCAGGAGGGTAGGGAGAAAAACAGAGAAGGACCTTTCCTCACACTTCCAAACTTCAGCCAAAGCTGACATGGTAAATTATTCTTTCCTTCCCCTATTTATGAATAGCTCCAACATCCTTAAATTTAGTTTAAGTTGTCCAATTTGAAATGCAGAATTTTGATACACAAGCATTCCCAACAGGATGATCAATCCGCAATCTGCCTGGCATAGTAACTTCACTAACTTACTTGGTATTGTTTTCATTCTCCCAATTGCTGATTTATGTAACTGACAAACACCCAACTGACATACCAAATTTTTCATCTGATGTTTAGCTACATAAATTATCCAGTCATGGAACAGGAACAATAGGACAATATTTAAATAACCAACACAAGATAAACTCCAAATTATGTAAACAGTTTCTTAATTTGTGTAGAAAGTATGTCAAACGTTTGCTTTACGATGATTCCAAGCAAACCACTTTGTCATAGCTTCATGGAAAGTGCTGTCATGCTTGCAACCTGACCTGAGAACATGCCTTGCACCATGGGCTCCTGAAGCCATGAGGAACACTTCTGGGAACAAAGGTCCTGCAGAGACAACAGGACAGCTCTGCAAAGCAGCTCAGCCCTTTTAAATTGAATTTAAAAACTAGCTAAAACTAGCCCATGCTATTCAGACAATGTTTTGAAGTGTGCTGTTCTTGTTTGTCAGGAACCAGAACTGTTGCAGCACTTCACAGGGTTGGGTTTTTTGTTTGTTTTTAAATATAATGGGCAGTAAGGCAAGACCTTGGAAAAGAGGGAGAGGCAAACAGAAAGGGCTGGAAACAAGAGGGAAGGAGAAACTACTATGAAAAAGTTAGATGTCTAATGGTCTGCAAGCAGCATTTACATGGCATAACAAAAAATACTACAGATACACGCCATGCAATCTGAGGTGACCTTACCAGGACCTACCACACAACTAAAAGACTCTATGAACACCTCTCTGAATTTCAGAAAACTGACTTTAACAGCAAAACCTCTCCTAGAACTGCTGCCTTTCCTTTAGCTAAAAAAAAAAAAAAAAAAAAAGTGATAAAATACTATGTGCAAGCCAGCAGCATAAAAACGTTTCTCCTTTTTCAAGTAAGATCTTTTGCTAAAGTAAAAGTTGTCATCTGACTAACCGTAACCTACCTAGCAAGAAATGAGTCACCAGCAGAGCCAGCCCTTTGACCTGCTGGCTTAGTGTGTCATATTAATTGACACTTTAAGTTAGTGACACAAAGCAGGTTTTGGTTAAGCACAAAACCCAGTGTAGCACAGACTTCTGCTCATTTAAATGAGCTCATTTAAATAGCTGATCAGCCCTCTGAACTCGTGGCAGATCTCTCAGGCGCAGAACAGAGCTAGCAGCAACAGGAAGTCATGGCTAGAAATCTCGCACTACCCCAGCTGATATTTTTTACTAGAGCAGGAGCCACATTGTTGCTGTCAAGGCTCTGTTTTCATTAAAGCATTCCTGCTGATTACAACCCAGCTTTGTTTTTCCGTCTTGTTAGTAATCAGCCTATTCGCTGCTGGTTTCCTGTTTTAACAGGGCCCAACTGAAAAGGGTCCTGGCCACGCTCCATGACTGGACCATTGGCTTACTGTTATTTACACCCAGAATAAAGGCCTGTGGACACGATGAGTAGCCCCAGCTGACTTACTAATTTATTTTGTATTAAAAGCAGGCTAGGGCCAGGCTATTTTATGTCTCCTCCTAAATACATTTAATCCAAACGAAAACACCTGCTTTTGTAGAACTAAAATTAAAGCAGCACAAATTCATTTGCAGCGAGGTATGCAGAACAACACAAAATCCCATTCCTTCACTTCCTCATGGACACTTAAAAAAGTAGTCTATGCTGTTAATGACCTAAGGACTACATGATCAGCATCCCTTCTTTATAAATTACTTTATCCTCCTGGCTTCCCAGATGAACTCATATACATGATTGAATGCACCGATGCATTGTGCCACAGCCCAAAGACTTTACAGGTCCTCCCGGTAATCAGCTCAGGGAAGATTACAGCTAGGATCTGGAGTCTGGGCTCAACACCCAAACGTTAGTTAACAGCTTGAAAAACTTGAGTAAAAGTACAGTGATGACTAAAGCTGATTTCAAAACAAACCACTGCCACTTAAAAAGGTATGCTGAAATACTTTTGAGGGGGAGGACAAAGTATTTAGAGAGGCTGAGACAAATGAAATGGAAGTTAAGCAAATGAAAAAATTTAGGCTATGAGGGGGAAAAGACACCAAAAAAAAACCAAAAAAACAAAACAAAAAAAAAAACTATCCCATTGTGTCGAGGAAGAGCTTCACAGAGGAAGTGGCAGAAACCAATTGTTATTCAAAAGAGGACAAAGTATACCACAAGGAACAATCTCTGCCCTCCAGAGAGGGGATGGACAAAAATCACCTTAAAGAACTTCCCACCCCTCAGGGTTCTCTGAATTTCTTCAGTAAGATTTTTTTTTTATGAGCACTGGTAAACAGAACCAGTTCCTATCCAAGCCCCTGATCCTGTTGTAACCAAGTTCAGTAAGATTCTTCACATGTATAAACTTGAGCACATGCCTTTTCGAGACTGTGTTCTAAATCAGCTCATTAGCAAGCCAAGTAGGTTCCGTGTGACTGCTATCACGTTATTATTTGTAAATTAAACTATCCATAGAAGAGTCCTGAAGTTTAAATCCAGTCTGCTAGCTTTAAAAAAAACTACAAAAACAAACAAAAAAAACCTCAACAAAACTAACCAACAACAAAAAATACAGCATCACACACACAAAAAAATTGAACTCAACACACATACCAAAAAATCTAACTAAAATGTAATGCAAATTTAAAAATCAACCAGAAAAATACGTTAGTTTAAAATTATAAGTAGCAAAAAACTACAAGGATACAGCAGGGAATTTCCAAAGGAAAAAAAAAAACCACTACCTCTTTCCTCTGAATGAGTTTCATAACTGAGGAACCAGCCTATTTGTTTTCCTCTGTACTTTATACTTTACAGCTTGCACTCTATTACTTCTAAAGCAACTACACTTGGCTGTACTATACTTTTTTTCCTCTAAACGGGATTTTTCTAGGAGTGCAAGCAAGAAATCTGAAACAAAGTCACGCTTTGAAACTTCTTGAATGAGCTTCAAATGCCAGGAGGTCACAAATAAGTACAAGCCCAACCTTTATTAAAACAAAGGCACCCTAGCCCTAACATCTTTTTAAAAGTTTCTGCCTTTGTCTCCTCACCTTTTAATTTGTGCCACGCAAACCCCAGGCCCATGGCCCCTCTCAAAAGTTCTCCCTCCCGCCTGTCACCTTTCATTGTTTCCATTGTTTCAGCCCAGGATTTGCAATCCTCAAAGCAGAGCTTACACACACACACACACACACTCTTAGACACAAAGCCCTACACATGCATACCTAGAAACTACGTCAGCGTTTTCCACACGCATTTATTTCGGGGGTGGCAAGAACAACAGTTGAAAGTGCAGGGAGTTTGGTATTACACCAACCAGCAGCTGCCCTCGGGGAGAGAAGTCTGAACAATGGAAGCAACAGCAGACAGGAAACCAGCTCACCACTGCTGTGCAAATAGGCAGCATAGGAATGTCCTAAAAATAACTGGGCTGAATTAATTCAGCGAAACTATAAAAGAGGTGGGGGGAAACAAACCACAAACTGCTTCCAACAGCGTGAAGAATCTCGACCTACCTAAGACCCCTGAAACAAGTAAAAGCCAGCGCTGCCGCCGTCCCTGGGCTCAGGGGGGCTGAGCTCGGCGCGCAGCTCTGGCTGTGCCTGGGATCGAGCTCCGCTCCGCTCCCGCGGGACGCTGCGCTCCCCAGCAACACCCTGCCTGCTCTTTAAACTTCGCCTTTGTGGCTCAGTTCCCTTTGTGTGCGCTCCTCTTAGCCGAGTGGCACGTCGAAAAAAAAAAAAAACAAAAACAACCCAAAAACTTCTGACGAGGGCTACAAACCATATTAGTACACACCATGTCTGCAGCAGCCCAATGATTTCACGAACTACATATGCATTAATTGCTCCAAGGGTACTAACAATGAGAGGCTGCTTTACTACGGAGCCGCAGGAATGCATAGTAGGGAAAAACAGCACAACTCTGGAGTACTGAACATGCGCACTGCTCCCCTCTAACCCTCCACTTCGGAGCATTTAATGGTCTTTGAATGCAAAACACCCTTCAGCCACACCGCCGCTGGCAAATCGCAACTGAACAGACACTGCTTTGCTATGAACTTCTTCCCAGCCAGCGCAGGAGCGCTAGATCCGAAAGCGTCTTTGTGGCCAAGCGCTAATTTAAGGGCACTTAAAGCACCACGAGTACGATGAGTAACGATCCTCTAACTGTAAAGTTTGTCTGGAAGTGGACACAAAGAAAACTCAAACAGCCTTATGGCTATGGGGGGGGGGGGGGGGAAGTCTTCTTCCTTTTAACCCCGCGTCAAAACTTTTGTACTTTGCGTTTCGTCCCCCCTGTTTTAAGAGATAAAGGGGATAACAAAAGGCTCCAACTTTCAGGAAAACAAGGTGGTCGAGGGCGCGGAGGGGTTTGAAGCCCTGCCGCCGATCCCCCCCCCCCCCCCCCCCCCCCCCCCCCCCCCCCCCCCCCCCCCCCCCCCCCACGCCTCAAGCCCCACGCTGCCATCCCCGCGAACAAAGAGTTGCCGGACGGCCCCGCTTTCCTCGCCCCAAGTTGGAAAACCATCCCGCACCCTCGTCCCCCCCGCGGGGACGGCGGGGCTCGGTGCGGAAAAACGTTCAAAAGTGTTTTACCGGAGGGCAGGGGCAAGGGGCTCAATGGAGGGGGCGAGAACAAAAGTTGGCGGAGGACACGAGGCGAACGGCTGGACATGTTTTTGACAGGGAGCCAGCGGCGCAGAGAGGCGGCCGCCTCCAAACAACAGCCCCGCATGTTTTGTCTGGGAGCGGAGCATCCACTGCAATCTTCCAGGGGATATAGGCCAGGGGGCGGGGGGGGGGGGGCCACGGGGGACAAAAGGCCGAGAAGGCAAAGGGACTCCGGCTGGCTTAGTGACAGCCCCCCTTCCCCTTTTCACCCCGTCTAGGGGCGCGGGGCACCCCGCTTTGTCCCGGCACCCCGTAACAACTACCTTTTTTACTTTTCATCTTGATCGCGAGGACCGAGCCGATCGCCGGACACCCCACGCACCGACCCAAGTTTGTCTCCCTTCGCCGGACGCTGTTTTCCCCCTTTAAGCTCAACGAGGAGGAGGAGGAGGTCGATGAAAAAAAGAAGAAGCAGCGCCGCGGAGCCAGGCGCCCGGTCACCGGCCGTGCTGCTGTCAGCGGGAGCCGCAGGACTCTGCCTCCCCCGGGGGCTTTCTAGTACGGCCGGGGTGGGCTTCCCTTCCCCCTTCCCTTTGTTCCCTTCTGCTGGCGATTGGCCCCGGCCTGTTAAAGTGAGGAAAGGCACGGGAGAGAAAGGTACACAGCGCCCGCCCTCCCCCACCTCCCCGCAGTGAGTACGGGAGAGTAACCGTGCGCTGCACTGGCACTCGCGGCGGCGGCGGCCGCCTCCTCCTCTCTCCTCCCTCCCCTCCCGGGTGTTGAGGCTCTGTCAGACGGGAGGGGAGGGACCGGCCGGAGCGGGGGGGTGTCCGCCTGTACCCGCTCGCTCATGCACACACAACAGCAGCGGCGGGGGGAGCTCTCCGTGCCTCCCGCTCCCTCGCCTTTCTTCCAAGCAGACGTTTGATCATTAAACTGGAAGGAGGAGAAGGAAGAGGCGGGGGTGGCGGTGGGGGGGAGATTTTGACAGCTGCCCTTGACTAGCCTTCTCCTGTTGCTGCCGGACGAACCACCCACTCCTTCGCGTGAATAGAGGAGAAGAAAGGAGAGTGCGTACGGCAGGGGAAGGAAAGGAGCCCTCCAAAGACCGGCGCCCCCCTCCCGGCTGCCGAACGGCCCGGTGGCGGAGGCTGCTCCCCCCGATCCCCTATAGTGCTGAAGGAGCCCCGCCTGGCCGGCGCTGGCCGCACACACCCCCACCCACCCCCGCGGGGAAGGCGAGCCCCGTTTCTGCGGTTATTTTTACATCAGTTCGTAAAGGTTGTTTTTCTCCCCCTCGACTCCCCCCCTCCTCCCGAGCCCGGTAGATTTTGCTGCGGCACATGATCGCAGCAGTAAAAGAGAGAAGTCTCACAGCTTGACTCATCGCTGTCGGGCGAGCACGCTCTGCAGCAGCAACAGTTTCTTTTCCTCCGGGATGGGAAACGTGACACCCGCCAGCAGCTCGCTCCAGCTTCCCTGGCGAGGTGGAGAGCTTTCACCAGGCACAGGCGGCCTTGACAGCGAGTGCCGACCCTCCCCCCACCGCCCCCTGACAAAACCAGGTGGAAAAAAAAAAAAATCAAAAGTGCTGAGCGCCCAGCCGCGGTGTAAAGTGTCGCGGGCGAAGGTTTCGGCGTGGAAAGGAAAAGAAGCCGCCTGGCCGCGGAACGGGCGTGCGGGCGCGGCGTGCACTTATTCCACGGGAGCGTGTCCGTGTCACTCCCGCACCGGCACGTGCGGGGCTGTTCCCGCCCGGGCAGGCGCGGGGGGCGAGCAGCAGGCGCCTGAAACGGCTGCTGAAATCATGGATTCCTTCGGCAGTGCAGGGATCATTCCCTCCCCACCACCCTACACCCCCCCGGCAGCGCGGGCGTCCGCGCAAATCCGCATTCACTGCACAAGGGAAGCAACAGCGTTTTAGCAGCAAGCCCTCCCCAAGTACCTTGTAACTATTTTTATGTGATGTAATTACAGCGGGAGATAAAACAGCTGTTGTATGCCGAACGGGGGATGTGTGCGGGGGGAGGGCAGCTGGTGAGTCACGTCAGTTAGCCATGGGCTCGGTGTCGGCTGCTCTGCGGGGCCGGAGGTTTGTTCCGGCATGGGTGACCCTTGTGCTGGGCGGCGTGTCCGGCTGTAGGTCAGCGAGGCACGGCACGCTGACTGACACACTGACTGACTGACTGACGGCGCCGCGCCAGGCGGGAACTTGTGCGGCGCGGCCCGAGGTCCCGCCGGCGGCAGCGCGATCCGGCCCATTGCCCGCCGACCGAGCGCCCTCCGCCCGCCCTTCCTTCCCGCCGCGGCGCCCCCGGGGTGCGACTCCTCGTTGCTGCCGCCCCGCGCGGTGTCAGCCCGGCAGGACGGGGCTCGCTCGGGGCCGGCGTTCTCACCCGAGCCGTGCCCCCGAGGGACTGGTGGCTCAGGGGCGGGGGTTGTGCGCGCACGCCGCCGTATGGCTTTATTTTGGCTTTTACTGTTTTGTTTTTGTTGTGGAAAAGCCCTGCTTCCCAGCTGTGAGGGCTGGCTCTTCGAACCGCTTGTTCCCAGCGTCCGGGTAATGGTCATGCCAAAAAAGCAATTATGGGAAGTTAACAAAAGACACGTCAAGGATTCGAAGAGATTTCCCTTTCTCCGTGCCGCCAGAGCCGACTCACGCCTGTTCATTGTCCTTGGGACCGCAGGCAAATCTGTGGAATCTTTGAAACTAGCTCTTTCCTCATTTTTTTCCTTTTTTTTTTTTTTTTTTTTTTTTTTTTTTTTTTTTTTTTTTTTTTTTTTTTTTTTTTTTTTTTTTTTTTTTTTTTTTTTTTTTTTTTTTTTTTTCTTAGAGATTTGTTTAAATTGGTTTATTTTGTTTTGTTTTTCTTCTTTGACAAGGTCATTTTTATACGGAGAAAAACGTTTTATTTTCACACTGAACTCAAGTTACTTTTTTTTTCCTTTTCAAAAGCTTTAGAAACAGCCTTTCTAGGAAAAGATAAATTTCGACTTTGTGTGGCAGCTTTTTAGCTTGTAGGAGAAGGCCATGGACCAGTGGGTGTTCATTCCTAGCTCCTGTGGTTTTAAACACATGGAAAGGCATTGTTTTAAAACAAGTTCCTCCAAGGATGGGAGTATGGAGGGCTATACCCATAGCTGGGACCAATGGGAAAGATTGAAAGTGTGTTTGTGTGAAAGTTCACTTTGCAGTTGTTGCCTGGTGCAGTATCTCAGGTTTGTCCACACATTTTGGCTGCCTTTCCTACTTAAAGACGTGTACCAGGTGGTAGTGGGTTAAAGTTTGCAAACAAGTAGTGCAGTGGAAGAAAACCCCCACGGCTCTCTCTGCCCGGTAAAACTTGAACACACCTGAAACAAGGCTGTGTCTAGAAGGAGGGCAGGTAATTTGCATTAACTCAAATCTAATGGACTGATCAACTTAGTCTTGTAGCAAATAACCTGGTGTTCTGTAAGATGATCGTGTGTATTAGTATTAGCTGCTGCTTGCAAGCAGAAGGTATGGAAGGCAATGTGTAACTATCTGCCGTTTTTATTTTTCCTTCAGGTGTTCGTGAGGCTGTGTTTTTAGAGTTACTTAATCAGCTAGAGCTGCATCAGCACTGTTAGTTGTATCTCACAAGCAGTTCAAACTGCTTCATGCTGAGCAGCTTTGGCATCTGTGCAGCTCCTTGGGTAGGTAGTGGTGTACACGTGCATCAAGATACATCTGTGCCAACAGGCTGGAACAGCTTGGTTTAGTCTGAGCAAGTTCAGCTCTGTCTGGACTCATCTGCACAGACATGTTGTGTTTGTAAAACTGGATTATAAAAAGGGAGAGAAATTAAACTGGAGGGGCTAGATTTTTAATTACTCCATGATTGTCCAGCGTCATATGTTTATCAGTTTTCAGTGGTGGTGTGCACGTTTCTGTCCTGTCACATTGCCACACGCAATACCTTGCACGACTCATTGTACGTTTCTTACTTTGCAAGTGCTTTGCTTTGAGGTGCTGGGACTATATTTGCCTAACTGCTGAGGTCTCCAAGGCAATGTTTTGGGCACAGAAACTATTAAAGCAAGTACTCTGGGAAATGAGGACCTAGGCAAATCAGGCTTGTGGACATTTGTTGTCTTGGATCTTTTTATTCCAGTTTCCCATTTATTAACTGGATAGCATTTTACCCCCTCCCACCACAAGGTTGTTATGAAAATAAATCCATTGACACTTAGATGCCATTGGAATATTTGTGATAAAGTTTATTGACTTGTAGTCAGAACAGAATTAAGTAGCACAAAGTTAAGCAGATCATGCCTATGGCACTAAGAGTAAAGCAATGCAACAGGTGAATAAATCTATCCATAGAAAAACAGGAATCACTATTGTAGGTCACAGCTAACCTTCACCTTTTCTACCCGTGACATTGAGTAGTTTCAGTGTATCAAAGAGGCTACACAAGGCAGATGTGAGGTAATATTTCCCCAAAAATGTCCCATCCAAATATTTAATGGTTCAATACAAGCACTGGAGGAAAAGTTTAATAGAACTTCAAGAGTTTATTACTGACCTAGCTGTATAGTCTTTACACTGGTACAAAAGTTTAATATCTTCATAGCACTAAAATTTTGTAATGGCACTTGAGTGTTGAGTTGTGAATGATACAAAAATGCATTGCTTTCAATTTTTTTTTCTTATTTCATTTAATATCCTCTTGTGCTTTGAGGAAAAAAAAAAAAACACAAATTCCTGTTTTGGTACCATTCATTATTTTGTATCTTTCTACATGACAGAAAAATTCTTACTCTTTTTGCATGAGAATTACTCCAAACTTCTCTCATTGCCTGTTTTTCTCCCAGGTGTATTCAATCCTACAGTGTTTGGTTTTTCAGTAAAGGTGACTTATGCTGCTTGCTGTATTTCAAACAAGGTTATGCCTCTGTTTAGAATATATATTTATTTGATATTACTTAATCCCTGATCTATTTTTGTATGGAATCCACCATGTTAGGCTTTATCTTTGGCTGCTGCTACATACTGAGCATGGGGCTCTACCAGCTTTGGAGGTTATACAGCTTGAGTAAAGTTTCTCTTCTGCATGATTTCATATTCATATCAGTGCTGAATCTTTTGTCATTGCAGTGTTCATTCATGTAACAGAAGTCACACTGAACTTATTCACAAATCTCCAAATACATTTTTGATATCTGCAGTCTCCATCACTGATTTTTGCCTGCCTCTGTCTCTCTCTCACTGGTCAGAGTTATTCTGTTAAAAAGCACTGAACATCAGAAGATGCAAAGTACCTTGCTGTCAACCTTCTGTCACAATAAAAAAAAATCAAACTTCAATACAGTTTTGATTCACTTACTCCAACCAGATATTCATCCATTATACTTGTTTGCCTTTTTTCCCTAGCAGTATTTTAGTTTCTCCAGTAGCTTGGAACCCTGTCAAAGACCTTTCTGAAATCTGAATAAATTATGTCAACCAGCTGTGCTCTCTCAATTAAAGCTCACTTTACTACCTTTGTGCAAGGGCAGAAAGGGTAAATCTAAGTCATGAAGACAATTCTAAGATTTCAGAATTTCTGCATAATAGACTGACCAACCTGAACATGCTTTTCACTTGTTTTCTGTGTGCATTCTTGTGGTTATCAAAGATCAAACAAGTGCAAAAACCTCAGGAATTCTTTATGTAAAATCATACTGATTCCTGACTGCTACAGCATCATGTTTACAAGCTTTTGGTTCTCAGTAAGGATTCTAGGATGGATTAAAGGTAAGGGTAAGTATTTAGGATTCCTGATGAGGATCAGCTGCTGGAGTGATCTGTGCTTGCCGCTGGGGTTTTCAGACATTTACTGCCAAAGAGGAG